GCTAGCTATTATGAGTAACGACAGTGTAGATTTGTCTTTGTGTAAGTTTTTGTTAGCCTATAGAAACTCTGTGCATTTAACCACCAACGAAACCCCTGCAAAATTGATGTTCAATAGACCCTTAAGGTGTAGATTAGATTTAATCAGGCCAAACCTACCACAGTTTGTACATGATCGACAGAGTAAGCAGATTGGTAATTATGGCGGAAGTAAAACAAGAGTTTTATGTGAGGGCCAACCCGTAATTGTAAGAGACTATAGGGGCAGGAACAAATGGATTTCAGGTGTAATCGTAAAACCTCTAAGCACTGTGTCTTATTTAGTAAAGTTGGAAAATGATGTTATCTGGAAACGTCATATCGATCAGATAATTGGGTTAAATAGTGGTATTGCAACAGCTGTACCGGAGGTAAACTTAGATTCGCTGCCAAAGGTATCAGCTGAGTTATATGAGAGGGGGAAATCAGCTGTGGAAATCACCCGACCTATACCCTCTCCACAACATATGAGTCCAACAATAGCCACTCCCACCCGCTCCAACAAACGCCGCTCCAGTTCCTTTTCTCCCCGCCCCTCCAGTTCCAGTAACTGTCATTCCACCTCTTCACGTGTACCTGACCACAGACAAGGTGACGTCATTTCCGCACCGAGCCCGCAGCGGGCAGTAACAGCTGATAATAGTAAACAATCACCTGTCAGATCTGAACGTAGATACCCAGTCAGAGAACATAAACCAGTAGTGAAGTTAATCTTGTAAATATTATTGCTGCATTCTTTACCGTATCATTTATTATGTACTGTGTTTCGTTATTTGTTTAGGAATATTTTTCCTCATTTTATGTGTTTCCATTATAATTGTTGTGTGTACTATTGATTGTTCCATTATATTTGTTGTGTGTACTATTGATTGTTCCATTGTATTTGTTGTGTGTACTATTGATTTGATTACCGTACTGTTTATGTTTTGCCATGTCTAATCCACTGTAGATGTTCATATTTAAACTTTTAAAATTATTACTTTTATGCCAAAAGTTTGAGGGGGAGGAAATGTAATATATGCATATTGATTTATAACATAACATTAACATTTAACATTTGTATTGGCAACAGTGCTGTAACGTATAGTTCATTTGAATAAATTAATACCGTTGGTTGAACATTAGCCAATCACCGATAGCGTCATATTCCCCACCTGTCCTGTATGATGCTTCTCCTCGGCCTCAGTTACCCGCTACCTACACCGGCTTCAATATGTAACACTCCATGACTCCTTTAATGTCAACCGGCGGTATTCATGTTCATTACCATGCGCCTTCTTATTTTAACCCCGGTCTTGCAAGTGCTTTAAGTAGTGTTAAGAAGTAGTTTAGTGAGTACGAACATTACACTTACCTCACTATATGATTATATATTTGCAATCCTCATAAAATTTAGAACAAAGTGGCTATTTTCAAATATTTATAGGCCTATAATTTATACAATTTCATTGAGCGCGAACTTTTTTTTTTTAATTTTCCAAAATTTTTGTTTTACCTAAATTTTTTTTTTTTTTAACAAATGTTTCTTATGTTTTATATATAATATTGAAGCCCATGATTTTCCAAACAAAATGCTATATAGAACAGTATAATTAACATAAGTCTGCAACGTCAGGCCCACGGTTGTATGTGACTGGTTTCAAACGTTTTTCGAAATCGCATACAACCAGTTGCGTCGTATGCGCCTCCCCACTGCAATACATTGCCGAGGTCACTAAACAGTTGCACACGCAACTGGTTTTCAACGACAGTTGTAAAACAGTCACACCATGTGCGCTGGGCCTTACTTGATTATGGCCCAACCCAATTTTTCTCTGAGACCTAATACTTTTTACTAACCTTGAAGTAAAGTCTGGCCTTCAGTCTCCTAATCTTAGGTGGCTGAAATTTATTTTCTCCTAACCTAACATAGTTTTTGGTAAATCTGTTGTTTTTTGTTTTTTTTCTTGTTCATCTGTAAAGTTTTTGGTTACCTACAGAATTTTTCAAAATAAAAAGTAGAAATTTTCTTGGCATAAATTTTGTTTAACCCTCCAAGGGTCCATCGTCGAAAAATCGACGCGCTACACACTTTGTGTAGTGTCACGTGTCGATTTTTCGACGCACGAACATCGTTTACGGCGAAGGCTCTATGACTGACTGAATCGGATTGAACTGGATCGAGTTAGGTATCGTTCTTTCCGTTATATTCTAAGCTTTCTCCAGAGGTCTGTCTCAGCGCTGTATGTTCTCCGAGCCGATCGTAATTGTAGCAGACAGCTGACGTGCGTATTCGTAAACAGCTTGGTTATCCTCGGACCGATGACTGATGTGTTTTATTACGTTTATCATTGTTTTAGTGTTAAAAATCAAAAGTAGTGATATACGTGGTGCATTATAAGAAGATTTAAGTGATTTTGAAGGGCTGGTTGATGATCCTGAAGAAGTAGGTAGTGATATTGATGTAAATTATCAGCCAGATTCCTAGCTATGGTTAGGCTATGCATTCTTTAGCTAAACGCTATGTACTGAAATCCGTTTTTCACTCATAACTTATTTATTTGATAACTTACCTCACTATATGATTATACTGGGGCGGAGCCCGAAAGGATTTTTGAGATAAGAATATGCCTATATGTTAATCGGGAATGTAAGCTATCATCATGCCAAATTTCAGCCCAATCCGTCCAGTGGTTTATGCGTGATTGAACTTCAAACAAACAAACAAACAAACAAACAAACACACAAACTTTCACATTTATAATATTAGTAAGATAAGATATTTGTAATCCTCATTAAATTTAGAACAAAGTGGCTATTTTCAAATATTTATAGGCCTATAATTTATACAATTTCATTGAGCGCAAACTTTTTTTTTTTCAATTTTTCCAAAATAATTTTTTTTACCTAAAAAAATTTTTTGAAACAAATATTCCTTATGTTTTATGTATGATATTGAAGCCCATGATTTTCCAAACAAAATGGTATATAGAACATTAGAATTAACATTGTTTTAAGCTTCTCAGATCCGTTTTAATAAAACCTTGCAAATGCGCCAAAAATAGGTGGACATTAAGGCAGAAACCATCTAATATATAAAATTCTCGTGTCACAGTGTTTGTCTGCAAACTCCTCCGGAACGACTTCACCGATCGTTATGAAATTTGGTGTGTAAATTCTGTAGGTATGCGAATCGGACGTAAACTATTTCCCGTTTCGAAAAGTTCTTAAAAGGGCTCCGCCCCAGTGGCTCTGGAGTTTCCCATGTTAACCTTATGAGAAATGGAATTAATGAATCTTAACAGCTGTTTCAATTAAACAAGTTGGTTCTGTTCTATGATGTTCAATAGCATTAAAGTTACAAGGATTACCAACAGGGTGCAGCACTATTATTTCTTTTACATTTATGACAACAGCTAATTTGCAACCAAAAGGTGAGTGAGCGTAGCGAACGAACTTCAACCCGGAGGCGAGTTAGCGTAGCGAACGAGCTAACCTGAAGGCAAGTGAGCGCAGCGAACGAGCTCCAACCTAAAGGTGAGTGAGCGTAGCGAACGAACTTCAACCTGGAGGCGAGTTAGCGTAGCGAACGAGCTAACCTGAAGGCAAGTGAGCGCAGCGAACGAGCTCCAACCTAAAGGTGAGTGAGCGTAGCGAACGAGCTCCAACCCAAAGGTGAGTGAGCGTAGCGAACGAACTTCAACCAGGACGTGATTGAGCGATGCGAACGAGATCATCTTGAAAATTAAACGTAACGGTACTTTCTTTCCATCGGTCTGTCTTAGGGGAAACCTATAACTTAGGCGATACGAAGTTCGCCGGGTCAGCTAGTTTTATATAAAATAGTTGCACACTCAAACACCAAGAATAGGTAAAAGTAGTGAAATGCTTCAGAAGTGATTCAGCTACAAAGAGTGCATTCATTGTGTAAACTTCTAACTAAACCATCCAGATTTTTTTATATAGGGAATAAGCTATTACCGTAGTACTCATGGTAAGACCTGGACGCGGGACCGATTTTTTTTTTCGTTTCGAGGTCCCTAGAGATCAAAAACACCATCCGTTCAAATTCATATATATATATATATATATATTTTTATATATTTATATATATATATATATATTTTTATATATTTATATATATATATATATATACTAGCTGACCCGGCGAACTTCGTATCGCCTAAGTTATAGGTTTCCCCTAAGACAGACCGACCCGGCAGACGTTGTCTTGCCTTTGACTATTTATAATTTAAGTACCGTTACGTTTAATTTTCAAGATGATCTCTTTCGCATCGCTCAATCACGTCCTGGTTGAAGTTCGTTCGCTACGCTCATTCACCTTTGGGTTGGAGCTCGTTCGCTACGCTCACTCACCTTTAGGTTGGAGCTCGTTCGCTGCGCTCACTTGCCTTCAGGTTAGCTCGTTCGCTACGCTAACTCGCCTCCAGGTTGAAGTTCGTTCGCTACGCTCACTCACCTTTGGGTTGGAGCTCGTTCGCTATGCTCACTCACCTTTAGGTCAAATTTGAAAAATGTTTTTATTTCTTACTAACTATTAACATAAAAAAAAAACAGTTTTACCTCCCTGATGCAGCAAACCTAAGTACTTGTTAAACTAATTCTATTTAAATCGGGAATAAATGTTATATTTTTAAGTAGACATTTCAGTGTAAATCAAATGGAAATTCGCTTAGTCTGCAGGTTTGCTGCGGCGGGGGTATTTTATATGAGCTTCTTTGCCACAGGCAGGTAATCTCATCATGATTTTTGTATCCCAAACCTGGCCGAGACAGGATTCAAATCCTCAACCCTGAGTTGTATCCTGATGGGAGAGTAGTTAAAAAAAAAACTTAGCTGAGGATATGAGAAGCTAGCTGCCCTTAATATTGCTGAGGATATGAAGCCACTTATTTTCAAATTATCGGTGATTTATGAATGGTATACAGTATTTATTTTTTACAATGTTTTATTTTGTTGTAGGTAGATGAAGTGAGAGAAAATGCCATTCTCATTGGAGATTCACTTGGCGATGCTATCATGGCAGACAGGGTTCCAAATATCAAGACTATTTTAAAAATAGGATTTTTTATTGGACTGGTAAGAATTAGTAATAAATTATAGTCATTGATATGGGTGTTAAATGGAATAACAGTTACTATTAGGCCTATATGCATTGTCAACAGAATTTTTCTCCCAAAATTGCACACAAGATAGACAGCCTATGAAACCCAAATTTACTTTTGTATACTTTTGAAATGTTATATTATTATTATGTGATGAAACCTTCTGCGTGTATAAATTGATCTTTTAATGATAATGGCTAAATCGCTGTGCATTTTTCAAAGTTGTTGATCCCAAAGGTTCATGTGCATCTCAACCACAGTTTTAGTTATGTTTGTTTACTCTGGTCTATTTGTTATTTGTTAAAAATTATTTTGTGTCTATTTGTTACAGGATCAGGTGCAGTTGCAAAAATATTGTAACAGTTTCGATGTTGTTGTTATCAACGATCAAACAATGAATACTGTCAATGCAGTTCTAAGACTCATCCTCGACTCTTCATAGTTACATGTTTAAGGCTGATCTTTAAAAGTTTAAAATACAGGAAAGTTCTGCAGAACAAAAAGTATAAAAGGATTTTAGAAAATATATTCTAAGATCCCTTAAAACTGCTTTAATGTTAAAATTTTTAAGAATATTATATTCTCTTGCTTGAGGTAAGATTTTTTTCAGCAAGGAATGTAAGTGTTTTTTTATATCTTTATTAGATACACTACACTAATATACAATCGTTCCCTTTTAGTGTTTATTGAAACAAAAATCTGGTTTCTCAAAATAAATTGATATTCCTCGCCGAGCAGACATTCCTTGTATTTTTCTTCTGTATTTAATGTTAATATATTGTAGTTACTGTTTTCTAGTGAGCTTAGCCTAAGAATTAAGAATTATAAAGCGCCTTATACTTAATGTAGTATCCACCAAATTTTATTTTATTTTAGTTTTATGTAAAAATACGAAGACATTTTATATTGTTTTACTCGTGCAAATATTTATTAATGGCATACATAAATTGTCTAAAATTAGTTTTAATATTCGAAGTTGACCTTATTACAATATTTTTTCAGCATTTTTTGTAGTAGGCTAGTTATTAATCTGTGCCTTGTAAATGCCTTGGTAGTACTGTATAATGTGCTCATGCCAATGCGTGGGAAATCGTTTGCTGTGATTAAATGGTTAATTAACACGTCTAAAAACTGTCAGGTATAGTTTTGGTTTAAATCAGTCACCAAAGAATGGCATTGCCGTTAGGAAACCCTGCCTTTAGGTTACAGTAGTATGGCATATTATATGGAAGCGGGCGTGACCAAATTACTGGTTGATTTACTTTTCGTCATACTACAGAAAAACATCTGTTTATATTCTATAGCTCAGTGGCTCCGACTTGCTGAACAGCTGGTGTCGTCTGTGACAACATTCTTGAATTGAATTGAAATACCACACCGTCAATACCACACTAAAACCTTACAACTGCCACAAACCACACACAACAACATCACAAAACCTCTCAGAGTCATAGATCTGTTGTGGATCTCACATTTCATATAGGCTAATCATGCTTTTTATACCATATCTCTAGTCACTTGTTATTGCAAAATGTGATAACTTAAACCGGCCTTATAAGAAGTTCAATTTGATCATTCCCATGAGACACTTGTTATCAAGGTTTTAATGTAATATTTTGCTATTTTAGACAACTCTAGCTTAATGTAAATCATGCATAAATTCAGAGCCTCTGAATTTGTGTATATTTACACCAAAGACAGTTTATATGAAAGAATCATGAGTAAGAAAACCAGTCCAAACTCCTAACATTTTTCTGAATAATTATTTCATGAACTTAACCGTCACTCTTGTACTGCAGACACGAGCCACTAACTTAGCAATACACACACCCAAGAACGCAATTTGTGCTTTCATTTCACCATAGCTTTTAGGTGCAGTAATGTTTTGCACTGTGTTACCTTTTAGGAGGCTTTAAAATTGCTAAAGCCTCTGTTACGTTATGTTGACTGATGTTAGGTTAGAAAATGTTTTGTAAAACTATTAACTTTGTCTTAATATAGACGCTTGGCCAGTACTTACACCGTAGCTTATAAGTTAAACATGCCCAGCTATTTACAATGATTTTAACTGTGACATGCTTATTTTCTAATGTTATACTGCAGTGAAGGCAGCTAGCCATAACCATAATCTATAAGCAAGTTCCCGTCAAATAGACATATTTTACCATTTACCATTGTAAAAGCTGTAGCCACTTTTTTGTGAGATAGAATTCAAATACAACAATATTTGAATAAACCATTATCCAATAAATTCCACGCTTTATCTCACTATCAAACTATCCGTTAAATTATTCTCATCTAGAGAACAATTACATCCCTCAATGTATTCATAACGTACCACACTCGAAAACAGGAAATAAAATTCCGCAGTATCACATTGACGTACATATTGTAGAGATTGAATTCTAATTTTTACAACAACAAAAAATTGGCTATAGCTGGTACTTGTGAGTGGTATTTTTATACAGTATTCATAATAAAAAATTACATTTTTCCTATCCTGTTTATTAATTTTTGCTATGTTACCCTAGATGTATTATGTAAAGCCACCAAAAATACCTTATGTTGTGTTTTAATTTTTTTAAATGTCTGCTTCATATTTTGTACTCCCACTTTATCTTATTAAATGAATTTAAAATAATGAAATGAATATAGTAAAAAAATAAAATGTTAAATTTTTAATTATGATTTTTTAGTAACCCTGATTGTATTTTAATCTTATGTTTGGATGCTTGTTGAGAGTGTCAAAATATAGGCAGTGGTGTCATTTCACCAAATCCTAGGGGGGGGGGGGGGAACACCGGGGGCAATTAGGGGTATGGAATACCCCCCAGCAAACAGGGGGGGCCCTCCCCCGGAAAATTTTGTAGAATTGGAACAAATAAGGGGGGTTCAAGCTTATCTTAAATTGTCAAAAGCACATTGAATAAAACCAAAATTATGAGTTAAGTTTATTTAAATTAATGGAACTAACAATTATTGACAACAGACAGAAACATAATAATATGTTGGTAAGCTAGTCATCCAGGAAACGTGGTCAATAGTTCCATGGTGTATTAATATTATTTTTGTTACCGGTACTAGATTTATGACCAATTTCTCTTGTACAACATTTAGACCTATAGCAATGAATACGGTTGTATTCATAGCCTATAGTTTACAACAGTTTAATTTGGTTTTTAAATAAAACAAAACTATTTAAGTACTTAAATGCAAATAAAATTTTATTATCAATAAAATAATTTGACACAATTAATTTTGATGTGCTACTGAACCACTAAAAAGATAATATTCTTGTTTCAAATTACTGTAGAAGAATAGGCAGATTTTGGTCTGCCGTGCTTTTTAGGATTTATTTATTTTTATTTATTTTATTTTTAGGAAAATATTTGTATATTAGCTAGTATAGCATATTTTTTCTCCAGTTTATAAGTCTCACTTAGATGAATCATCATTCTGGTAGTCTATATAGTTTTAAGATCTGGGGCTCCGTTTACCATCAGATTCGTTAATACCCTCTAACATTGAACCAAAGTATGCCCAACTTTATGTTATAGTCTATACGACGTATACGCAGCTGTTACTCATAGAATGGGTCAAAGATCCGTGAAATGCGGCCAACTGCTGATGCGTGATTTAAATTACTATCTTTATTCCGCACAACGAATGTAATGAACAAGAAAACAACGAATGTAGGAATATACATTAACAAATTATCTCCATAGCATAAGTAGCTTATTAGGTTATCAGCATTGTGCAGTTCATACACCATTTATTTTTCAAATGTAACTCGAATTAATTTAAAACATTGTTTTGGTTAAACTAATATATTGGTTTGATTAACATAAATAGTTTATACAGGCCCAACTATCCGTTCTACTTCATATAAAAAAGCAGTCCCTAAATAAAATACAAAGATAAACAGTATTTGTTAATTATTATATATTTTATTTTATCTATTTTTTTCAATTTCTAATATTATTATTTCCTGATAGCGGAAATCTCTCACGCACGGGTAGTAGCCTATGTGAGAGGCATTTCATATTTAAATATATTATTTTATTTATTTATATCATTGCATAACTATGAAATTTTTACTGGCAAAGTATTGTAACAATAATGTATTTACTTACTGAAATCTATATATTAATTTGAAACTGTTTTTCTTTGTGACAGCTATTTTGAGAGAATGGCTAGGCGTAGAAACTCGGTAGAGGTGTCTAAAGAAAGGTCCCGGTCTGTAGATGAGCCATCAAAAGAGAAACATGGAGAATTCCCTCGGGGCTCTGCCCCAGTGGCCTTTAAATTCCCATGCCATGTTATTCTTATGGAGGAAAACCAGGGTTTTGTCACAGCTAATTTGAGAGAACGGCTGGGCGTAGAAACTTGGTAGGGGTGTCTAAAGAAAGGTATTGGTCAGTAGGTGAGCCCTCAAAAGATAAACAAGGTAAATTTCCTTGGGGCTCTGCCCCAGAGGCCTTTAAAGTTCACTCTGCAATTTTGTTTACATTTCGACCATATGGATAATTTTACACTACTTTTAATGAACCAGCTGTTAATATTAAAATTGTATTCAAAGGTCTACTGAAACTGTCAAAATTAAATGTTTACATTATTATTTATGATTTTAAATGGATTCTCCACTGCATGACAAGTTTTTATAGTTTCAACAAATTGATGAATATGATATGTTTTAAATGTTTTGTTCAAAAATCTATGCTTTATTGCTCCTAGAAAATTTTAAATTATGAAATAAGTGTGACATATCAATTTCAAAGGAACATATAACTATTCCTTATCGGGTTAGCTTATGTATATTGTAAGGTTGGCACTTGCCTTTTTTTCCTACTTTCAATCATCATTTATTTTTAAATTCAAGAAAGAACACCTGAGATTCATTTATTGGTATACAAGTTTTTGATAATCGGGTTGAAAATTGTGACATAGATGAGTACGATGAGGATGAGAGCTGTGTTCAAGTTTTGGAATAGACTAACTACGGAGTCTATGGTTTTGGTAAAGTAGGTGAACTAATGTCAATTCAGGTATTAAAAAAAATGTGTACACAGTTTTTACTTTGATGTACACATGTAGCTAGGTCGAACAACGCATTTAAACCTCACTACATACAAAACATTCGGAAACACAACAGTGTCATCACATCTCATCGCATTTGCATAATTTGTTACCGGACTAGGTTATGGATTTGGTTTCGCAAATGTTCAAGATTTGTGATAAAATTTCCTACAATTATGGTTAATTCCAATCCACGAAATACATGCACAGCTTTATGTGATCTATATGGCCAAGGCAAAACTAACCCACAAGTTATTGAATTATCAAGTAAGAACAGGATGATTAAATACATGGGTCGATGTGGCAAGAGAAGGAATTGCTGAGATCGAAGTAAGAATGTTACTGCTTTCTAGAGAATCAGATATTTTTATAAAACAAAAAACTGATTTAATATGCTGATAGAATTCTGTATTTTTATGACCAAAGATGAGGATTACTTATAAATCAGGATACAATCTGAATGATTTTCCTAAAGCAGATGGAATTATTAGTGGTTAGTAATAAAATTGACTCTTTCCTGTAACATGATAGACTAATTATATGAATTCATTCTCCCATATAGTGAAAGTGGCTTTGGTATGAAACAAACTCATGAACAAACAATTATAAGACTCTTAAAAAACCCTTAGGGCAACCTAAAGCCGATAAAAAGGTAGAAAATATTCTGTTAAACGAATTCATCAATCACGTTTTTTACGGAACACAATCGTCATACTTATTAATACTTATCCTCCCTTCATTTTATTTAACTAAGATTTTAATGTCTTCACTCTATCCATCGCAGTTAGCTGAATTTACATAAAACCTCAAGATTAACCGTCGGATTTCGACGGGGTTCCACTAGTAAACATGATTTTGATTTGACAATATTCCCGTGGCGGAGCACGGGCGGCTAACTAGTTATCATTTAAATAAACTACTCAGTTTAAATTGAACAGCGAATTCTGTTTACTTAGAAGAGGTTAGAAAATAAATAAATAATGATAGGCTACCGTACTTAAAATGTTTACCTACAATAATTGAATAAAAACAGAAATAGGAAAGTCAATCATTCATAATAACTTCTATATCCGGCCAGGAGGTAGAATTCCGGCCATTCCGGGGGATAAAAATCCGGGGGGTAAAAATCCGGCCTGTACATCTTCAGTTGTCTAATTAACGCTAGTTATGTGGACAGGGGGTGAAATTCCGGGTTTTATTGCTAATCTAATTAATCACGCTCCATCTATTTTCATTAGACTTCCAAATCCGCGGGGGTAAAATTCCGGCCGCGAACAAACTTTTGAGCGCTCAGGTTACTACGTCATAGTGACGTCAGCTTTGCCCAGGGGGATAAAATTCCGACGACCCGTTTTGACACGTCATTACCACTGGGAAGGCAATGGTTTTGATGTTAAATATTTTTGCCGATGTTGAGAAAAAACATCATTGAGAATAATACCCACGAAAATAAATTAAAGATTAAAATTAGTTCTCTAGCTATGCCAAATACAAGCTAACCCGCAATCCCACCTTTTTTTAGAATAGTGGCCACCAGTAGGTCTGTGTGGTGCAGGTATGCCTACTTGCCACTACAAGCTCCAGCGCCTACATTTTAACGCTTTTTATGTACAAGTAAAGTACAGTACAGTAGAGGTAAGTATTTTTTTGCATCAAATGGTAATGTGAATTTTTTCTGGAGCCTAGAATTGATATTCAATTTCATAGTATCCAAGTAAACTAATTTAAAACTACATTAAATAATTGTAGTCTCCAATTCTCCAAACACTCTTCTATATGGTGGTTATAAGATCATCACTTTACTTTGAAATGGCGTACTTTAAAACGGATATCCACTCAAAACTCAAACTCGAAAATTTTGACGAAAACAATACTTTCTCAATATACTATGTTATAGGGGGAAAAAGTAAAAATATGGTTTAAATCAACTTCACATTCACATGACAAAAGACACATGACATTCGTTCTTTATATAGTATGACAATAATTAATGACAGAAGAACTAGTATGCGAATTAGCGGCAATTGAACTCAAAATTGCCTCTAAAAAAATCATAACCATCTGCGCGTATCGACCAACATCAGGGAAACCACAAGAATTTCTAAACCATCTAGACAACTTTTTACACTCCATCTCAACAAAAAATAAACAAATTATACTACTAGGAGACCTAAACATCAACACACTTGAGAACTCTGAGGCGCTAAAAAATCTCAAAAGCATACTACACCAACACAACTTAAAACTGGAAGATCTACCCCCAACAAGAAAAGCATTAAACATAGAAACGAGTATTGACTGTTGTATAACAAACTATCTAGGACCTCAAACAAAAGTAATAGATAATATAATATCAGACCACCACGGAATAGAATGCATCATTAAAACGAAAATTAAAACCCAACGCCCGAAAAAAACAACCTCTAGAAATCTATCAACTGAAAATATGGACCTAATAAAACTACAATTAAAAAAAGAAAGCTGGCATGAAATATACACTGAAACAAACATTGAAGAAAAACTAAACAAATTTATCGGAATACTACAATACCATCTGGACGTTATAAGCCCACTACAAACTAAAACTATCGTCCAAAAAAATACACAGCCCTTCCTCAAGACAAAAGAACTACAGGAACTAAAAGAAAACACACTAAAGGCTAAAAACAACTTTCTAGCCACTGGAGGCCTCAAAGATAAAAATGACTACACGATACTGAAGAAAAAATATGATCAACAAGTACGTGACGCAAAAAAAAACAAAATACAGAAACAAATAACAGAAGCAACCAATCCTACAAAGGAAATATGGAAGATTATAAACGAAGAAAGAAGAAAAAAGGTCCCAGAAGACACCAATATAACATTGAACATCAACGGGAAACAGGAAAATAAACCCCAAATCATAGCTGAAGCTTTCAACACCTATTTTTTATCAATAGGCCAACAAGATGAAGGAACTCAGATACCCATACAACATCATCTACCAACTCAAGACAACAGCATCAAACTAACTAAATTTGAAACAATTTCTGAAAAAACCCTTTTACAAATAATAAAAACCACAAAACACAACAACACAGCAGGAGCGGATGGAATACCAGGCAAACTTCTTCTGCACTGTAAGGACCAACTCCTGAAACCCCTTCTAAACATCATTAACACATCAATACTAACAGATACAGTACCAACAAAGCTGAAAACATCTCTAGTCTACCCTAAATTCAAAAAATCCAATAAACAGAACATCGAAAACTACCGACCAATTGCGATACTGCCAACCATATCAAAGTACCTTGAGAAGGCAATACATGGACAAATTATGGATTACTTAACTTTACACAACAAACTCCACATACACCAACATGGATTCAGAAACAACAGATCAATAAATTCAGCCATAGCAGACCTACTAAACATAATCACTGAAAATTGGGAAAAAAACAACAAGTCTCAGCTGTATTTCTAGATCTACGGAAGGCGTTTGATTGCCTAAACTGGGACACCCTTCTAAACAAACTTCAAGAAATAGGAATTACAAATAAAGCACAAAAATGGATGAAAAGCTACCTATCGGAAAGAAACCAAATCGTTGAAATTAAATCAAATCAACAAAATAACGACAGAAAATTTAGATCAAAACAAAAACACATGAGAATGGGGTGCCGCAAGGGTCAGTCCTTGGCCCTCTACTTTTCTTGATATATATCAATACAATACCAACAAAATTGCCAGCATACTCCGAATGCATTATGTTTGCAGACGACACCACCCTGATAATACCAGGACAAAACCGCAATGAAGTTGAAGAAAGAATAAAATCAACCATGAAAACAATAGAAGAAGAACTTAATACCATCAGCTTAAAAGTCAACCACTCAAAAACATTTCAAATCAATTTCACAGCCAAAACCACTCAACCCCAAGAACCGCAGGAAGGAAACATTATTACAACAGTTAACCATACTAAATTTTTAGGACTCCAACTAGACAGCACACTAACTTTCAACAAGCACTCAGAATTCTTAATCAACAAACTATCCTCAGCCTTCTATGCAATAAAACGAATAAAAACCATAGCAGGGAAAAATCCAGCACTAATAGCATACCACTCACTCATGGTATCCCACATCAAATTCGGCCTAATAGCCTGGGGAAGTGCACCCCAAACATATATTGAACCAATCTTAATACTACAAAAAAAAAGCTTTAAGAATAATAAATGATCTTCCATACAACACACCCTGCCGACAGCACTTCAGAGAAGACAAAATATTAACAGTTCTATCCATGTACATCTGTGACACCATTCAATACTCCATACAAGAGAACAATAAGACAAGAGCAGAAATTCATCAACACAACACAAGGAAGAAAGAAGATATAGACCTCCCTTACAAAAGACTAAAGAAGGCACAGGACCAACCCTTGTATACTGGCACAAAATTCTATAACCACCTTCCCCAAAACATCAAATCCCTAAAACCTAACAAAACCAAATTCAAGCAAACCCTAACAAATCATCTCACACAAAATCCATGCTACACCAAACAAGAATTTTACACCATCAACAAAAACAGATAGGCTCACACATACACCAAACCAAGAACCCAGGTCAAACTTTGACCAACAATAAACTTCCTAGGGCCTTGCCCAAAGAAGAAGACGTACCCCCTGTCTTGAGGAGAGTGGCGGTGAAGAAGAAGGTAAAGGTAAAGGTAAAGAAGACATTTTTATACATGTATATATGCTTGGTGGACATAATTCTGTTTAACATCTATTGGTTGGCACCCTGCTTGAGTTGTTGTGAAACTGAAAATGGAAGGCACGGCTGAAACTGAAAATAGTGAAATGTTTGTGTGTCTGTGCTGTGCAAAGAAGAATAGAAGAATGAAGACGACGGATTTGAGATTAACTAATGCGAATTTTTAATACATGGATAAGTTATAGCTATGCCCGCTTTGAAATTAATTAATAGGATGAGAATATTCGCAATCTCATTTGTCTGCTTTTCTATTGAATTCGCCTAGCAAGTAAGTAAGTTAATTCGTCTGTTTCATCATTGTTTTTGTTGTAGCCTTATAACTCTGGACTGGACTAAAATGGCGGCTTTTCTTCCAGGAGGGTCTGGTCATTTTAACTTATAGGACTACCCTCAGTTTGTCATTACAACCATTCGTTGCCCTTTTGTAGATGATTTTTCATCAATCTAAAGCAGAATCGATGGTTTTTACACGACACAATCTTGTTGGATGGATTTAGGCCTACCTATCGTGATCAAATAAGCCGCTCCCTAGGCCATAAAAAGGCGGATTATTTAGCCTAGATAGCCTAGGCTTTACAATAATTTTAGGGCTTTTCAACGTTAATTCTTAATATTCAATCATATTCAACACCTTTAAATGTCACTCAATTTTTGAGACTTGCGGAGTTTGATAAAAAACTTAGGCCTAATAAAAAATCTAAATGATGACATAACTTAGGCCCTAGATAAGTAGGCTAGGCCTAGGTCTAGGCTATATAACATTGTATATTTTCTTAACCCTTTGAGTGCCAACGTCCGGGGAACCGGACGTTTTTAAAACGAGCCAAAAGTGCCAACGTCCGGCCGACCGGACGTTTTTAGAACGAGCCAAAAGTGCCAACGTCCGGCTGACCGGACGTTTCGTAATGATCGAACAGCTGTCATAACAACCGAATAAATACTCGGATTCTTTTAACCCATATATTAACATTGAGTCGAAAGTTGCTAGATGCGATACATCGATTTTCGTTGGTCGAAATATCGAAAATTCGATTTTTACGAAATTTTAACCTAAAAATCGCCAGATCGCGCTCGGCATTTTTAGCGCGACCTTCGGGAAAAATCATCGGCATTTTTTGAGCGTTACTTTTATTTCTCGCCTGGCACTCTAAGGGTTAAAGCAAATAAAATTGTCTATCTAAAAATGTATGGTAATTGTGTCTTACCATGTATAAATAGCAATTTATTGTTGGCTCAAATTCAGGTGTTCCAAAAAAAGTTCTTAATTTTTTACATAACCGCACATGTAAAAAAAAATCACTAGGTATAGGCCTAGGGCCTATTTACAAAAACTGAGGGCAAATATTTACCGTACCGGTATTTACATTGGGATATGATGTAATTTTTATATGTCTACTTAAACTTACAGTATTTTTAACGCTGAATCCAAAAATGCAATCAGTTTTTGTCGGAGATATTCCTAAGTGGCCGTAGTGGCCGTAAAACGAAGGTTAGGATTACGAATCTAAGGATAATTGAGCGGTACTGAAGGTGGTAGGCTAATGGTTGGTAATATGTCGTGGAATAAAATGTCGTTATTAACATGTGGGCTGCACTTTACTTGACGTCCTACACTCATTAGAATGAAAATATCGATCGATATATCGATTAATCGATTGATTTATTCGATATATCGTTTGGTTAGTTAGGTAAGGTTAACCTAACCTAACTAACCAAACGATATATCGAATGAAAGAATCGAAAGAAAATATCGAATCGAAAAAAAACCAATCGAATGAGAATAGGACGTCAAGTAAAGTGCAGCCAACATGTGTAATACTTAGCAATTGTTCAAATTCAAGCAACAGGGACACTAGTAAGTAAGTATTTCTCTAGGCAAAACTTTCGAATCAGATTGACTATTGTAGCCTAGGCCTAACTTAAGTTATAAAAAAAAAAAAAAATGGCTAGGCTAACTTATTCCTCCGAGATTTTAAGCTAAGCTGTGTCAATCTTATGTGCATTAGAGACAACTTCAAGTAAGGTTAGACCATTCATTTATGTGAACCAAATGTACCATTCAGTTTGGATACTGCAAGTAAACAATTCTTTTAGACACCTTTAGAACCTGTAAATAGGCTATGGCCATGAATCGTTGAATAAATCATTTTAAACCTTTAAAAAGTTATAATACCACAACTTATTCGTATGTTTTGGTGATAGTTTGTGGCTAATCACATAAAGTGTACCGGTACCTGTAACTGGACTTGGTAACTTAAGCCTTGTGACAGGTTGCCGAATGAAACAATGAAAATGCGCTACGAATAAATAATTTATTATACCTATGACAAAACAGATATGTAGCCTAGCTTTCGACCTGCTGTATAATTTACAAACACAAATAATTTATAATCACTAAATACTAGCTGACAAGAAAGAGAAAATACAATTCTGAATTAAGTAAGTTGTTGTTATAAATTTACAATGTTAAGATACCTACAGATTCTCATGATTAAATGCATTTTAGAAAAAGGGGAAACATAGCCTCCTGAGGAGGCTATGGGGAAAGGCGACGTGGAAATTTAGATGACCGACCGAATTGAATTTAGAATTTAGACTAACTTAACTGAGTGCTCTCCGTCCGTAGCGCAAAGCCGACGTGGAGGGGCACCAGCCAATTACGTTGCGGCTCTGCCCTGTGAAGTCAGTGCAAGCCCTGGATAGTGCTGCTGCCTAACGATCAATCGGGGCAGGAAAACTGCAGTTGCGCAGTTACTGATTTCATCGAGCGACTTGCTGAGCTGACTAAGCAAATTCCAGCCACGCGCGTTATACACTTCTGGGAACATTGGCCTCCGAGCTTAGCACTGAGCCACGGCTAACGGAATATTCCATGGTGAGGCAACTGGCTGACGCAAAAGTTGGGAGGTTAACACAGTCCAATATTACAGACCCTCCTTTTATATTTGAAATAAAGCAAAGATTTTGTGACGGTATCGACAGGGTTTCTACAGGGTGTAGCAAAAACCTCCCCAGCTGATATGTAATGGGTCTGGGAATTTTTGGGGCCGTCACAGCCTATAGGTGCATGATTTTATTTTTAACGTTTGTATATTTTGTGCATGGCTTCTAATCATTAAGTTTAGATAGGTTACTAAGGAAAAATTTTAATGTGCATAATACTGGCACAGCTTTATTTAAAACCTGAGGAATAGCCTTTAAATCAATGGTACACCTGCTTCACATAAATAAGAAATCTACTTGCTGTATCCAAATTCAATGGTCCATTTGGTTTACAAGTAAGATGCCTATTCGCAGTATCCAAAGTCAATGGTAGGCTTGCTTATGGTTCGGAAATGGAATGTCTATTTATTTGCAGTATTACTCTATGCATAAATTAAGTAACAGCTTAATTTATACATAGGAATTAGAACGGATGGTGTTTTTGGCCTCTGTGGACATCAAAACAAAAAAGTAACTTATATTGGTCTCGGGTCCAGGTATCTATATAATTAATACGCTACATGAAACTTTGTCGGTTGAACTCCTCCGCCATTTCTACACCGATTTTATCCATTGACGTCTCATTGGAAAGAGCGTGTCGCGTAGATTTGCAAACTGGCCTTACATTTTTGAAAAAGTCCCTTGGGCTATGCCCCAGTGGCTTTGAAAGTTCCCATGTTATCCATATGGAAAACATAATTTTTTACATTTTGATCAGCTGTATAATTTAATTGTTGTTATTTATTTTTCAATTCAATGAAACGCATTGAGTACATTTATTTACTATTTTGAGTTTGTGTAAACATAACCCCAAGACAGATCGTGTTAGTATGGTTGTATCTCAGATATGTGTATTTATCATTGTTTTGTGTAGCTATGACGGATCGTGTTAGCATGATTGTAACTTAAATTTGTTATTTGTTGTTTTTTTTTTCTTTTAAATGCCTCCGATGCGACGACAAGGAAACAAAGACAGGAGGCGTAATCGTGATAACGACCGCAGCTCAATCTCAACTATTAGGTTACAAATGCGCCCTAACACTACCCCAAAACGAATTTTCGTTCTCAATTGGCCCTCTATCAATGACCTGTGTTGCCTGTACAGCGAAGTATTTTGAGGAGGAGAAACCGGCCGGAATGCTTTAGGTTTATCAATAACGAAGATAAGCCCATGTAATACAAACTTAAGGTTTTAAGGTGGTAGAATCTCTTAAGGTTTTTGTCCATACAACCTTATATGGCTATGTCAGGAAATGTTTGTAGAAAAAAACAATACCGTACCAGAGGTTATGAAATGATACAATATTTACAGGAAATGTTGATTACTGTTAGCGAATTTCCCTATAGGGAAGTAGCTATTACCGTAGGTGGCATGGTAAGACCTAGGCCCGGGACCGATTTACTTTTTCATTTTGATGTCCCCAGAGGCCAGAAACACCATTCGTTCAAATTTTTATATATGTATATATATATATATGTGTCCGTGAACACGATAACTTGAGTAATTTTTATCCGATTTTGATGAAATTTGGTTTGAAGGTGTAAGGCGGGATAAACTTGAATGAGTTCGCGAACCAGCATGATCGGACCATGGGAACGGGGTTTTACGGGGGGTTTTATGGGGTAAAAATTGGTTTTTCTAATTTTTGACCCTCCAAACGCAAAATTTCCCAATTTCACTTCAGACCTTCTTAAAGAGCTTAAAAAAACAAATAATTTAGTATATCAAAGTGTTTTTGTACTATTATTAGTTACGGAGAAAATTCAAATAATTGTTATTTTAAAATTCCGATGTTATTCTTATGGAGAATATTGTAAAATGTAGTAGTCTGCTTGTTTATGGATATATTTTAATCAAACTTGGTAAATCTGTTTATTTTATACTAAGTTATTAATATTTCTCTAAAAAACACACTTTTTTACCCTCCCTGTAGCAGCAAGCCTACGTACTCATAAAAATTAATGTTAATTAAATACATTTAATTGAAAATCAATTCAGGCAACTGGAAATTCGCTTAGTCGGCAGGTTTGCTGCGGCGGGGGTATTTTATATACATCGTTAGTATCTTCATGAGCTACACACCGGTTATCTTTGAGTTGACTCTTTTAAACACATTGTAAATAACACTATTATTCGTTTTGAAATAACTCCTGTAATACTTTGCAATTGCTCGAATTCGAGCAACATGTACACTAGTTACTATAATAAGAACTACGGTACCTAATTACTTAGGGTAGCTTATTCAATTTGGGAAATTCGCTTAAGGTGGTAACATAAGACAGAACTTTGTTAAGTTAAACGTTATTGGTTTTTATTTTTACCATATTGTATGATTTAACTCAATATGGTATTAATATCTAAACAATGGGGAGCGAGCTGGTCTAGTGGTTAGAGCGCGGGACTCCGTTTCTTGGGGTCCCGGGTTCAAATCACGCCATATCACCAATGGATTTTATCCAAGTGATAATGCCGTAACCCCTAGGTCTAGCCTGAAGTAATGTGAAAAACAATTCCGGGCTCGTGCCTAGCGTCCTAGGACAAACAAAAATATATATCTAAACGATATTTAACATTATTCTGTGACGAAAAATTCTAGGGGGGGAATAAACTAGTATTCACCTTAGTCAGGCTAGGCCTACCCCTAGAACCGGCCACACTCAAATTTCTTCCCCGGAGTGCTCAGAAGGAGCCGAGAAAAATCCAGGGGTCGATACGAAGTTGTCACGGCTTTGACTGATCAATTTATTTAAAATTTAATCGAAGGCTCAGAGCTCAGGAAACGTTCAGGAAATCCTGCAGACGCTCAGTTGGAGCTATATCATCCCAGCCTTCGCTAACGTGTTTTGGTAAATTTTGCCTAACTTTTAGTATGACTCTGTAGGGCTGACAAGTATCCAATCTTAAGCAAATGTGATTTAAATACTCGTAATGAACTTTAAACTAATTAGTTGAAGACGACGTTGGTAATTGATCTAATATCGAATAAAAGGCAAAACAATTCCTACAGAGTCGTCGGGGCCTAATTAATATAATTGGACGGAGAATTTATCGTGATGTTGTTTAAAATAGATTTAATATTAATTTACGTAGCTGATTGTTCAAATCAGCCTGTTCCCAAGACTTGATTCTTTCACCCGCCAAAGACGGGGTTTAGAACTTAGACGACAAGTCTCGGGGTATTAAAACGGTGAAAACGAGATATAATTTGGACGTGATAATTATTTGTTAAGCGATCGGAGAAATCGTAATTTCGAAACTAATGAATTGAAATTAAACAAACGATCGCCACCGCTAGTCACTGGCAAGCAGGAACTGGCGGGTCAAGACTCGAGTTAAGATATATTAAATTTAGATAATTCGAAACGGAATTTTAAGAAAACGAAAAGATATAAGTTAAGTATGCGTAGGATAAAACAGAAAGAACGTAAAACGTAAAAAGGGGCCTAACTAGTATGGTAGCTAACCTTCGTAATAATATCGTAGTGTCGTATTCGTGACTCGTGCGAGCTAGTCGGTGGTCAAACAGCGAATAATTCTTGTCCGGCTCAAATCATGATTTCCTCGGTCGAGGCTTAATCGCTCTGGTGGTGAGTTTGAGGACTAGCCAACAGCTGATTGGAAATTCACCTGTTGAGCCGGTCTAGTTGTCCTCTGTCGTTGGTCAACAAACACCATTTCGAGGTTAAGTGATGTTGTCATCGGCGTTAAATATTCGTAAAATCGGTCGTTTTAACTTTATTATGTGAAACAAAGTGCTATTATGAATAAATATATCGTTGTGGGTGTGTTTGTGTACTTCACTGTTATTAAAAGTAGGCCTACGTTCTTTGGCCCATAGCCCAAGCTATGGCCAACACATAGGCCTAGGAGTAGGATGTTGTGGGTAAAAATCGGGTAAGTTATGGTGTTTGTTGACTAGCAATACGTTTTTACCCCCTTTAAAATTTGGTACCTCACAATTCATTCGATAAAATATCGTTGGTTCACTACTGTACCTGTTTTTGTTGCCTAACTCAAAACAACTTATTGTAACTTACAAATTCTTTGTTAACCATTTTGTAGGTGTGAAGATGTCTCATACTTACATTGCAAGCTGCACGAACAGCAGTAAAGATGATGACACGCTCATTATCATCGTCAACTCTGACGGCACACTTTCAGTTGATCCTGAGACACTACAGAAACTTTTAGGTGAGTAAATGTATAGGAAAAGTTTGGGTTTCACCAATTGAAGCCTAAGTAGGCCTAAGTTGGTAGGAGATACTTACTTTAAAATTAATTATTAAGCATAATACTTTAATACTATCTTATGAAATGGCGACCATACTAATGTAGGTATTTTAAGCCAAGTATGAATGGAGATAGTGTATGATGAGTGGCGCGATCTTGTAGTCTTGTTTGAATAAGGCCGACATATTCTTCTTCTCAGACACAGCTGTTAATTAATAGCCCATTTCTAACTGCATAAAAGATTTTCAAACAAAACCAGATATAGAACCTAGTGTACAGAAAAATAGTTTTTCAAGTAGTCTCTTTCCTCATATTCAAACTTTTCGCTGTGAGCCCACGGATGAAAACGAAATTATTAAAATTTTAGATTCTTTAAAAAATAAGCAATCATATGGGTTTGATGAAATTCCTGTAACTATAATAAAATCTGCAAAAATACACCTATGTAAAATCTTAGTTCATCTAATGAACTCTTCTTTAATATCTGGTTTAAAAAAAAAATTAAAAATATCCAAAGTTGTGCCTATACATAAAAGAGATTCTACAAAAGACATGTCCAATTATCGTCCAATTTGGATTCTGCCATCCTTTTCAAAAATTTATGAAAAAGTCATGTACAGAAGACTATCCCAATTCTTAGAAAATTCAAACATTCTAGATATGTCCCAGCATGGTTTTCGGCCCGGAAAATCGGTTTTCACTGCAGCCGTTTCATTTATTGAATCCATCATAGAGTCCATAGATAAAGGGGAGAACGTAGTGGGCATAATTATGGATTTAACAAAAGCTTTTGAAAGTGTAAATCATCATATTACTTGATAAATTATTGAACTTTGGTGTCAAGGGAGTTGCATACAATTGCTTTAAGTCCCTTTCCGACCGATATAAGTATGTTGAAATCAACCAAACCATTTCAAATAGGATCACGGGCGCAGCATCGGACTTATGTTTGGTCTCATGTGGCGTCCCACAGGGATCAATTCTGGGTCCTTTGCTGTTCTTATGTTACATAAGGTTATGTATGTTATGTATGTTATATGTATGTACCGGTTCCGGACTTCCTGAAGCGCTACAGACTGTTCCCCATAGTAATTTATGTTTATATGCAGACGACGCAAATTACAAATTTCAGCAAAGAACCAAAATGAAATTGAATATTTAAGTTTTATAGAACTAGCTAATATAAAGCAATACTTCAATAGTAATAGTCTTTAGTTAAATCCAAATAAAACTAATTTTATCACATTTTCCACAAAGCAAAATCGTAAACAAATATATCGACAAATATAATGATTGAAGATGAAATTATTGAACAAGTGAATGAGGCTAAATTTTTAGGTCTATATATTGATGGAAACCTATGCTGGGACAAACATGTCAAACATATATCGAGAAAAATGAACTCCAGTTAATTCGCCTTAAGGCGTATGGCCAGCCTATGCTCATTGCCTGTAGTACTAAAACAAATATATTTTGCTCTGATTCACTCTAATATTCTTATTTCTTATGGAATTGGTTTGTATGGTGCAACAACAAAAAATAATCTGAATACAATTGTAAACCTACAGAAAAAAGCAATTAGATGTCTGCTCAAACTTGAAGATGATGGCGTAACCCGCAAAAGAACACTTCAAAAATCTTTAAATTTTAACTGTGTATGGTCTGTATATTTTTGAATGTATCTTATTTTTTATAACAAAAACTTACGTACAACCAATAGGTCATCAATATAATACAAGTAGACAGACCGAAAAACATTTTGAAAAACATAGATTGGAATTTAAAAAAAATAGACGACATACATTGGCAATAAATTCTTTAAAGCAATTGAGAATGAACTAAGGTCAGAAAAAAACAATAATAAACTAAAACGTAAATTGAAAATATATTTGATCAACAAACCCATTTACTCAATAGAGGAATTTTATGAATACAACAAAATTATGAGGCAGTAGTGGTAGTTTTTTTTATTTATAATTGTATTGTTTTTTAGTTTTATATATGACGCCATTTCTTGTAATGACATGTACAAAGACAAATAAAGTTGATTTGATTGATTGATTGATAACTATTGTTTAAGTTTGCTATATATACAAGTAATTCAAACCATCCGGACTGTAATGATTGATCAATAATAACAAATGTTAGGAAAGGCGATCAAAAATATCAGGCTAGGTACCTCTATGTAACATTGTTATTATAGCAAACTTGTCCTTGAAGCCTATTTGTTAACCATAGAAATAATAGGTACCGTCACCGGTGCTTAGTTACAAATTTAAATGAATTTTTCAATTCATAACTTATCTTTATTTCTACCGGTACTTACTCATTAAAAACTGAACCGAATAAGTTACATTTGGCCCAAATACCTGAAGTGCTCACAAATTCACAAATAGAATCTAATAAAAATGCATTTGTAAAATGTTATTTTGATTTATACATTTTTGTACCTAATAGGCTGCAGTTTACAACTAATGTGTTTGGCGTTTCAGCAAACCAGCATCACAACTCTCCGATCAGTCTGGTGCGGTTGGATGCCAAAGGTGACGGAAGTGGTGGTGGTGACGGAGCTGGTGATGAAGACGATGACCCTGACTCTAGAGTGAACCTGACTGTGGAGGGTTACTACCCTCCCACCCCTGCCCCCTCGTCACCTACGCCTCCTCCTACGCCAGTTGCTGACACCGGCATCTCTAATGATGGTGAGTAAAGACAAGCATCGGCTAGCAGCTATATTTTCTTTTAGTTTTTCATTCTAAGCTACCTAAAACCAGATTATTTTTTCATACTTAAGTGTATCCAGCCTTGTATTGTTACTATCTATCGTCGACCTTTTTGTTATAGCTTCATTAATTGATAATCCAACAACTGGGTCCAGTTTTTTCTTAATTCAAAATATGTATTCCAATAAAAAAAAAAACAATGCAATAGGATATGTCAACGTTTTCTTATTTTAATATGAAAGTGCAATAGAAAAGGCAGGCAGTCTGAAAAGATTCAAGCTCACAAAACATTCTGACAAAAACAGAGAAAGGAAAGCAAAACAAAGTAGGGCGAAACCCGTGCACCTACCGACAAAAGCAAAAGAGAGAGCTTCTACTTTAAATGACTACTGTACTGTACTTACGATATTCTTGGGGATGGTGAAGAAATCATCGGTATAGAAGAGTGGATTTGAAAAGTGGAGTGCAATAGAAGGTACGAGAGATTGTTTTTGAATTTTAAAAAGTCTGGGTCCAGGCTGAACAAACAATGTGATTTGAAAACTCTTATTTGGAATCAAACCACTGACCCTCAGCTTTGAAGGCGAGTAATAATCTGTAACCACTCAGCTACCCAGGCAATTGGAATAGTCCAAGTTATACTTGGTTAAAACACTTTTTTTGCTTGTTCCCATGGGTTATTTAACTATGTTTACCTCATTTATCCACCTTACTCCTGTTAACCCTCCGAGTGTCATGCGTCGCTGCAGCGACTCACAAACACTGTTTACGGCGAAGGCTCTATGACTCGGGGCCGGATTTCCCAATAGGCCCGGTAGGCCCGGGCCTATGGGCGCAAGCTCCCAGAGGGCGCACGGCCGAGAGGAAAAATATTTTTTTAATATCTAAAAGTAAAATAAATAGCCATAGCTTAACATATTTTGTGAGTTGATAAAAAAAACTCTTGCCAATAAAGCATTATAATTTTTAAATTCATTAAAAGAAACAACCGTTAAAAAATATAAACAGTTTTTCAACATTATGCATCAATTTTGTTACAACATTGATAACGAACATTGGTTATATGGGAGTAGGCTGTAGGGATGTTGTCGAGCGCCCGAGCGGTACGCATCCCGCATCGTATTGCCATTGCCAGTTGCCACTGTACTCTTTGCACTGCCACTATGCTGGCTCGGTGCCACTGATCTGAGTGATTAGGGGCGTATGCGTGTTAGAAACCGTTACCACCCTTACTTAACAAAAAGAAAATGTATTAACTAATCTTTTGATCAGTTTACAGCAATCTGCACTGCAGGGTCAAGTTAAAATATATAATACGTTATGAATATTAAAAATACGATAAGTTTATCTTTAAAATTCAATAACGAAAAAAATATCTGAGTTTGCAACAGGTTTTAGAAAAATTAAATCCCCTCCAAAGCACCATTTGATGTAATTTCCTCCTCAGCTCAGACCTGAGGATAATTATGGTTGGCCGGACTATTGCTTTGAAAATATAATCAGAATGCAGTACCACCATAGATTAACCATAAACTCAAGTCGACTTGTTATCATATTGTCAATCCTAAATATAGTTTTTCATGTCTAGTTCATATATGTTGGTCACACTGGAAGTTAGTTTTGACGTAATTTTGTTTCTATTATTGTCTATTATTCTATGTTGTCGTTGTGAGTGTTTTAGTTTCTTGTAATATAACCAGGGGACGACCTATTGTTTATGATTAGATCGTTTTATTTTGGACAAACTAGGTTTAAATAACATATAACTTAAATAAAAAGAATTGTTTTCAGCTAATCCCTAAGGATGACAAATCTACTAAAGGCCTATGTTTAATCTATCGTATCACGTACTGTTATGGAGTTCATGTTTTGGGGCCTGAAATTGGAATCAGTGGACATGCTTTTTTTGCAGAAATGCTCTGTGGGTTGGATTGTTTTGTTTCAGTCCCACAAGCGTGAGCATTTGCTAAAAGCATAAAATTGCCAAAAGTGTTTAAGACGGCATTTTGTTGAGGCTAAACAAGATAATTCTAAAAAAACTTGCAATTATAAAATTCCGACGAGGAGTGGTGTTCAAGCAATTAACATAGGCCTTTAGGCATGATATCGTTTTTAATAAAGGTTTGTAGGAAAGAAACTGTGACCAGAACAGGGGGCGGAAAAATTATTTGGGCCTAGGGGCGCCAAAATGCTAAATCCGGCCCTGCTATGACTGACAAAATCGGATTGAACTGGATCGAGTTAGGTATCGTTCTTTTCATTAGATTCTAAGCTTTCTCCAGAGGTCTGTCTCTAAGCGCTTTATGTTCTCCGAGCCGATCGTAATTGTAGCAGACAGCTGACGTGCGTATTTGTAAACAAGTTAGTTAACCTCGGACCGATGACTGATGTGTTTTATTATGTTTATCATTGTTTTAGTGTTAAAAATGAAAAGTAGTGATATACGTGGTGCATTATAAGAAGATTTAAGTGATTTTGAAGGGCTGGTTGATGATCCTGAAGAAGTAGGTAGTGATATTGATGTAAATTATCAGCCAGATTCCTAGCTATGGTTGGTTAGGCTATGCATTCTTAGCTAAACGCTATGTACTGAAATCTGTTTTTTGCCCATAACTTATTTATTTGCAAATCTACTTCCTTATATTACTATATATTTGTAATCCTCATAAAATTTAGAACAAAGTGGCTATTTTCAAATATTTATAGGCCTATAATTTATATACAATTTCATTGAGCGCAAACAAATTTTTTTCAATTTTTCCAAAATAATTTTTATTTTTACCTAAAAAAAATTTTTTGAAACAAATATTCCTTAGGTTTTATGTATTATATTGAAGCCCATGATTTTCCAAACAAAATGGTATATAGAATAGTAGAATTAACATTGTTTTAAGCTTTTCAGATCCGTTTTAATAAAACCTTACAAATGCGCCAAAAATAGGCGGACATTAAGGCCTAAACTATGGACACTCGGAGGGTTAATCTAAATGTAAATCGTTCTATTCCTTTAAATTTAATTTTACTGAATTTTTCGGCTAATCTATAAGAAGATCCCAATTAGTTTGGATTAGCTGGACTTGGTCCTACACAGTTTGTAAGTTGTATTATAAAAGTAACATGAATTTTAGGAATTGAGCTTAGTCAGTTACCATAATATTAAAATCTTTCTGACACTGCAATTTTAATAGCTAACACTAGCTTGTCATGGTGGCCACAGAACAGGAATTACAATAAACCACCTGATTTAGTAGCATTTAGTGTAACATTTATTTAAGATGAATTTAGAACTAGGTTTAGCTCCCTTGACGGTGTCTTGTTTTAAATACTGATTTGTAATGTCATATCTTTTGTAGGGGGAAGTCAGGAAATGCTGGCTGACTCTATCACAGAGATACTTCAACCAGAAGATGTTGAGAAACTGGAGACAGCTCTTCAGTCAGAACATGCCAAAGAAATCCTCGGGGATGTTGTTTTGGGTAAGATATCCCTTTAAATTTGACCTACCGGTATTACTTATAACAAGTCATTAATTATTATAATGTTGTGCTTTATTAAAGTTAAAACAGCAAAAGAAACCCTTTTATGTGAATATGAAAACTCAAATTAACTTCCCAAATGTCTTTTCTGTTGCTGATCTGGTAATATTTCGTCAACATTTTCAATTGTTGACAAGATATATGACATCATCATTTGTGACAGGAATACTCGTCATGTGCAGAATCGTCCGGCTGCCATGTAGAACCAACGCACGTGACACCAAACAAAAGAAGTTTAGCGTTGTACGTGATTACCTAATATACAATAATCGTATATGTTCAGTAGGGATAGACGGAATTGAATTTTTAGTTCGGAACGGGACGGGATTTTTATTTCCTTCCCAATTTTCGCGACGGGACGGGATTTTTTCCTGTGCATAAAAAGAAAGTCTTGAGTATTGCAGTTACCAAAAAAGAGAAACAAAATAAATTTTTACCGTTTGTGACACTATCTATAAATTCCCCCGCCGCAGCAAACCTGCCGACTAAGCGAATTTCCATTTGTCTGAATTGATTTTCAATTAAATCTATTTAAATAACATTAGGTTTAATGAGTACCTAGGTTTGCTGCTACAAGGAAACTAATAAAGTGTATTTTTTTGTAAAAGATTAATAGCTTAGTATAAAATAAATAACTTTGCCAAGTTTGATCAAAATATATCCATAAAAATACAAACTACAACATTTTACAATATTCTCCATAAGAATAACATGGGCATTTTAAATTTACAATTTTTTGAATTTTCTCCATGACCAAAAACCATACAAAAACACTTTGATATACGGTACTAAATTATTTGTTTTTTTAAGCTCTTTAAAGGTCTAGAGAGAAATAGGAAAATTTTGTGTTTCGAGGGTCAAAAATTAGAAAAACCATTTTTTACCCCATAAAAGCCCCGTAAAACCCCGTTCCCATGGTCCGATCATGCCGGTTTGCAAACTCATTCAAGTTTGTCTTGCCTTACACCTTTAAACCAAATTTCATAAAAATCGGACAAAAATTACTCAAGTTATCGCGTTCACGGACGTATATATATATATATATAAATCTATATATATATATATACATATATAAAAATTTGAACGAATGGTGTTTTTCGCCTCTGGGGACATCAAAATGAAAAAGTAAAACGGTCCTGGGCCTAGGTCTTACCGTGCCACCTACGGTAATAGCTACTTCCCTATAGGGAAATTCGCTAAAACCAAAAAATGGTTAGGTTACAACAATTTACAGGTACCTATAGAAACATGTGACTCGCGGTCACGGTGTGATCGTCAAAATGACCGCGGTCACGGGGTGATCGTCGGTATGACTCGCGGTTAGGCGCGATCATCGGAATGACTCCGTGGTCACAGGGCGATCGTTGGTATGACTCGCGATCACGGCATGATCCTCGGTATGACTCTTCGGTCACGGGACAATCGTCGGTATGACTCCGTGGTCACAGGCCGATCGTCGGTATGACTTCGTGGTCACGGGGCGATCGTCGGTATGACTCGCGATCACGGCATGATCGTCGGTATGACTCTGCGGTTACGGCACGATCGTTGGTATGACTCCGCGGTCACGGGGTATCGTCGGTATGACTCTGCGGTCACGGTACGATCGTCGGTATGACTCCGTAGTCACGGGGTGATAGTCGGTATGACCCCGTGGTCACGGGGTGATCGTCGGTACGTTTCGCGGTCACGGCGTGATCGTCGGTATGACTCCGTGGTCACGGCGCGATCGTTGGTATGACTTCACCTCCTGCATTCGCTGAACATCTCTCGCGATAGCGGCGTTCTCGACACTCGCGAAGCGGCAATCGCCTTCAATCGGTCCAAATTCCGTCCTGAAAAATTCCCGAATCAAATGTAATCCCGTCCCGAAAATTGGGAATATTTTTTTCCTGAAAATTTCCCGAAAATTGGGAATATTTTTTTCCTGAAAATTTCCCGAAACTTCGGGACCCGTCCATCCCTAATGTTCAGACATGAATGGGTTTCACATCTAAATAAAGTACAATATAGAATTGTTTGTATTGTACTAGCCCATACTTTAATTACGTACCTACTATTTATTTTATTATCTGGTTTATTATTTTTGTGTATGGATTGGATCAAGCCGTATTACTGGATGGGGCAGATTATTGAGGGCCGAATTTTCAAGAGCTGAATCTTTGAGGGACTAGTGAAATGAAATATTGCGATTCATGTTTGAGACAAATTGTAATGTATTCAATTTTTGTATGAAAAATTTCACATTTTACTCTTTATTTTACAGACATGTTGCAAAAGAACGGAGAAGACAACATGGGAGGTTCGGGAGATATGGGGCCGCTGTCTCAGGGCTCCGTGGTGTTGGACCATTGTTATGCCTCGCTAACAGGTCCAGCCCCACCCCCCGTCACTACCCCTGTCAGAGGAGCCATCAGGGTGAGCTGCTTGTCCTACGACAAAATTTGTTGTTTTGTGCTTTTCATCACTATTTTTGGTTTGGGTATTTTCTACACCCCCTCTAAAGATTTTTAACTAAACTATGAAATAAGAAACTTAACTTTTTTGAGCTTGTTTGGTTGCAGATTTATAGTAACGTGCTAAGTTATTGGGCATGCTTTTAAGAAATGCTTTACAGAGTAAAATAGTTATTAACTTAGTGATGATACAATTAACGAAATCAAACTTAACTACAGTCAAACCTTGACATAACTATTTTAAAGATACCAAACAATATATTTTTTTATATTCAGGGATTTTTTGGATCATGGTGTGTCAATTTGTGTATAGCGTTGCTTCACTCTAAATATAGGTTCATACAGTATTCAAAAAACCTATTTACCGTAAGTTAACATACTTCACAATATAACAATTATCAACTCTTTTGTTGTCAAATTTAGGTTTTATTTTCTTGAAAATGCAATGACATACTGTACCAAAAATCAAGATAAAAAACTTATGCGATGGAAGACAAGCGATTATCTACTGTACTTCACTGAGAGGATACGTGAGCTAAGAAACAAAATTTTTTAACTTTGATAGGAAGAGTAGGCTTACCTGTACTGTGCAATGTGCGAGTCTACTCAATGGGAAAAATATTTACACACACCAAATAGAAACATTTTCTGGTCACTGACCACTTTGCCAATTACAAAGAAAGGAAGATTGAAACCAATACAACAAACCAGTTGGCTTAAGAAGGTATGTTTACACGTAGGGCAGGTTCGTTCAGTTTTGAAAAGAATTCAATATTTTGATCAGATCTATTTTCTTCAGAATAGTAAAACTTATTTACTGCATATAAATGTAAACTTTATTGTTGTGGATGTTTCAAAGGATTTGAAACAAATGTTGTCAAAGAATTCATGATTTTAAGGTTATTTATATCAAGGTTTGACTGCATTATTCTCACTAATTACCAATCAATTATTTTTTTTTAAGACAATGTTTAATCATAGTTGAAAATATCTTGTTTTGCACTTATACTTATAACATTTTCTTTATGAATGATTTTTTGTGTGTTGTTTTTGTTTTTGAACCACTACTATTGGTTTTAAAATTGAAGATTATTGCTATGCATGGTTGGTGTTTGTACTAGTTTGTTGTAGTGGTTGTCAAAACCACAGATTTCAAACCTCAAAACAGTAACTTTAATATCAAATCCTGAATCTCAAAATCTTACTAAAGTATTTTTACTTACCTGGTTAAAGTTACAGCAAGAAAAGGATGAGATTTTTTTTATGCAAGAAATACTGAAAGAAATTAGACTCCTGTCACTGAAATAATATATGTTAATATGAGATTAATTCACCTTAGACCTAGTTTAACTTAGGAATTTCAACAACACGTTTCAAAATTGTCTACAAACATTATTGAGAATCTAATAATATCTGCACAATTAGTGAGCGATAAAATACCAAACAAGCTTATTTTTCCAAATAATTAACACTTGACAAAGTCTTGTGACCTTGGCAGCAGATTTGGGGTAGCCTATATTTTTTTTATAAACAACAATAACTAAGTTGCACCAAAAACTGTTGCAGTTTCAGTTTCGAGTTTAAATCTTAAAATTCGTCAATTTAATGAGATTCAAAGTTTTGATGGTTTTGAGATTTGAGATCCAGTTTTGACAAGTCACTTAGTTACTGTGTTGATTGTACAATTCCCCGGTCAATGGTGCTGTCTGCCCTTCACTTTGGTTGACGTCTCCGTCATGTTCTCAGGGAAGAGGTCGTCCCAGAGGGCAGCCTCAAAGCAAGATGATGCAGTCAATGATCCCGGTTGTTGAACCGCTTGTTATTCCTGGCGACACGGTATTTTTTCGTTTTAAATTTTTGTTTAGTTTTTACTTTTACTTTTAACACAGAATATCCTGTACCAACTATTACTCCTTTCCATCTCTATTATCCATCACCATGAAGATAATTATTAAAAAAAAATCATAACTTAGTGTTACTTGGGTTCTAGGATGTTCTCTCCGAAAGAACAGTGGCCAGGCCCGCTTTTATAAATGGACCCAGGAGCACAAGAGGTTTGGGTTTGATTTGGGCGCAAACAGCAGTTAAATACTAAGAAAATATTTTTAATCACACTACAATAAGTTAGGGCCTACTACTATCGGTTCTTGCTCATGACACATCATTGCCACTGCTTGCATGTTGCTACTTGTTTGTCTCTTTATCTTTATTTGTCTTTTTTAATGTAAATTTTTTATTACTCACTTATGTCAGTTCCTTTTGTTCAATCGTATGAAAAACATTTAATCAGTTGACTTGTGAATTAAGTTAGTGTTGTAAAAAAAATCGTCTTCATAATCTATACTTACTCAGTAAAGACTCAAACAGCGTCCATCCTCTTCGTCAGGAGTACCGACGGGTAAAAGACATTATAGAAGAGAAATTTCAAAAGCCAAATCTGAAGCAGCACTCAATACGATCAATAAATCTTCCATCAAACCAAAAACTCTTTGGAACATTGTTAATGACCATAAGCCTAAGAATAAGGAAAAAACTCTGAGAATTTCTGTTTTGGATGAGAATGGCATTGTCGTTGATGAGCCATCTGAGGTTGCAAGTATCTTCAACAATTTTTACTCAACAGTTGTTCAAAGGCTATCTTCTCAAATTACCACCAGGACATTTTTAGAGAATTCCAATACTCCTTCTCCATCTTACAAAAACTCCTACTTGTTCCCCACAACTGAGACAGAAGTAATGCATGAAATTATGGGATTAAAATCTAAGTCATCATCAGGGTATGATGGATTTTCCTCAAAACTCTTAAAGGAAATCAGTGATCTTATATGCTCTCGTCTCACTCATCTAATCAATTCCTCGTTTGAAGAAGGGGTGTTTCTGATTGAACTAAAACATTCAATCGTTTGCCCCCTCCACAAAAAAGGTAAAAAGGATGATATAAACAATTATCGTCCTATTTCCCTTGTTTCAACCTTTTCGAAGATATTTGAAAAGATTTTTCTTTCTAGACTGATATCTTTTATTGATAAACACAATATTCTTTCCCCGAATCAATTTGGCTGCACAAAAAATAGAAGTACAGTCGATGCCATTCACTTCCTAGTCTCATCTTTGACTCAATCCAATGATTCAGGAAAGGCTGCAGCTGGAATCTTCTTCGATCTTAGCAAAGCCTTCGATACGGTAGATCACGGCTTCTTATTAGACAAACTTTGCTCACTCGGGATAAGAGGTGTGGCTCACTCCTGGATAGAATCTTATCTGACCGGCAGAACTCAGGCAGTTCAAATTCCTTTCATTGATGACAACAACTGTTCAAAGTCTGCATTTTCACCTCCCCTGACAATCACTGCAGGGGTTCCTCAGGGCTCGGTGCTTGGTCCGGTCTTATTCATCCTTTTTATTAATGACCTGCCAAGTTGTGTGCCTGAGTCTGAGGGTAGGGTATGTTTGTTTGCTGATGACACCTCATTGTCGTTGTCTGCAACATGCATGCGCGACCTCAGAAGGAAAGCGATTGGTCAGATCAACTCAATATTACATTGGTTTAGCTGCAATAACTTGTTTGTAAACAGTGCCAAAACTCAAATGATCGAATTTTATATCAGAAACAAAGAAAACACAGCACCCCTGTCAATTTCCATAGACAACAATCATTTCATTCCGTCCTGTTCAGAAACTAAGTTCCTGGGCGTTCACATCGACAGCCAGTTGAAATTCACACACCCCACTTAGAGTATGTCTGTCATAAATTGAGTTCTAGTATATTCTTATTAAGAAATTTGGCAACATTCTTGGACTCTAAAGTTCTAGTGGTGGCTTACTACGGACTGGTTTTTCCTTGTCTTTCATATGCAGTTGCAGTTTGGGGACACGAGTGTGTAAATTCTAAAAGAGTTTTTAAACTACAAAAGAAAGCCATCAGAACAGTTTTTAAGAAGCGACGTAGATTTTCCTGTAAAACACTTTTTGCTAACTATAAAATTCTTACTTTTCCGTCAATCTATATCTAAAACTGTCTCGTATTTGTTAAGAAAAATATCAACCTTTTTCAAAATCAGTCTCGCCCTATCTCCTATGGTTTGAGAAGCCGGTCCGATTTGGACATTCCAAAGCACAAAACTGCGTTTTTTGAAAATCATTTATTTTACAATGGCATTCAACTGTTCAATGCACTGCCCGCTCCCCTGAAGATGGAAAACAGTGTGGACAAATTTGGCAAAGGGGTTAAGAGTCTTCTTTTGTCACGCTGTTGTTACAGTGTAGAACACTTTTTAAGAAATCAATGATTTTTAGGTTTTAGATTTTATTTATAAGAAATATTGTTTTTATTTGTAAGAGAAATTTTGTTGACGCTATTATACAGTTTATAACGACTGTCAAAAATAAAGTTGTTTTAGTTGTATTTTTGCTTATGTTTTGGCATTGTAATTATGTTCAACGTAATCCATAACGTGATCAACGTGAATTTGGAAGTAGCACAGCAAAAAAACTTATGGACAATGAAAAAGTCCCTAAAATCTGTAGTTTGTGAATTAAAAGCATTTAATGATCATTTGTACCAAATGCTAAAAATTGACTTTAATTTTGCCACTAACCCTCAGAGTGTCCCTTGTTTTGGCCTTAATGTCTGCCTATTTTTTGCTCATTTGCAAGGTTTCATTAAAACGGATCTGAGAAGCTTGAAAACAATGTTAATTATACTGTTCTATATACCATTTTGTTTGGAAAATCATGGGCTTCAATATTATACATAAAACATAAGGAACATTTGTTTCAAAAAAAATTTTTAGGTAAAAAAAAAATTTAGTACATAGCGTTTAGCTAAGAATGCATAGCCTAACCATAGCTAGGAATCTGGCTGATAATTTACATCAATATCACTACCTACTTCTTCAGGATCATCAACCAGCCCTTCAAAATCACTTAAATCTTCTTATAATGCACCACGTATATCACTACTTTTGATTTTTAACACTAAAACAATGATAAACGTAATAAAACACATCAGTCATCGGTTCAAGGTTAACCAAGCTGTTTACAAATATGCACGTCAGCTGTCTGCTACAATATTTTCGGAACTAAAATGAAAAGCGCTTAGAGACAGACCTCCGGAGAAAGCTCTGAATCTGTAAAATAAAATGATACCTAACTCGATCCAGTTCAATCCGATTTTGTCAGTCATAGAGCCTTCGCCGTAAACAGTGCTTGTGAGTCGCTGCAGCGACACAAAACACTACACAAAGTGTGTTATGTGTCGCTGCAGCGACAAATAACACTCGGAGGGTTAACGGGTTCACCAAAATAATTGAGGGAAAACCAATTATGTAAAGTGTTGAGTGTTAGAGTTGTAAATGTTAGCGTGTACTTTTTTTTAAACCCATAAGTTAACACAATAAAACGATCCTTATCGTTGTTATTTTGCGTATGCTCGTGATGAATCATAAAATTTCTAGTTTTATTTGACGATTCATATCAGGGGGGGCATCTACTTCTCCGGCTAATGGCTTGTCACATGCTAACCGTGGGGCTGACAGTGAGACCAAGAGCTGATTTAATGATCATGAGCTTTTGTGCTGTATCTCCTATGTCTGTCAATAAAGTTATGTTATTGTTTTTGTATAGTTCAGTGAATATTAACGTACTTACAGTCATGGCTTCATCATAATTCAGATAGAAGTGTATAATAATTTTTTTTATAATTGCTAACAACCAACTAAAATTTGTGTACCCTTAAAATTTGTTAAAAAACAAACTTGTTGAAAAAAATTAAAGTAGTAATGAAAGGCTTTTTAAATTATAAACAAATTCCATTCCCTAAATTCTGTAAATTTAATTTATTGTTTTTTTATCTAGGCACAATTTAGAAGGTTTTTCCAATATGGAATTCAAATTCACCATTATTACTGAGGTTAGAATGCTTTAGATACATTAGGTATTAATAAACCCTTTTCCTAAAAGTCTCGAACATTCATTTCATTATCATATTGTGTTGACATTACTTATTTACTGGAGTGGCCACTGGTACCTTAAAAGGTACTTGGCCTCGCCCACACACTGCCTCCAGGTGTCTCTTTCTTGAGTATCATTTTCAATCCTTCCCAATATTCTTATATCTTTTTGGACTCCCTCCATCTCAGCTTAGGCCGTCCTGCTTGTCTGCCTTCGGGGTTTCTGTCAAGTATGTTTTTTGTGGTGGAATTTTGCTTTCTCATAGTATTCCCAAACCATCTCAACCGTCCACTTTTGTCGTCCGCTACGATGTCTGGGTCGTTGTACCGCTCTCTAATCTCGGTGTTATGCCTTTTCCTCCATACTCCTTCCTCGAGCGTTAGGCCAAATATCCTCCTAAGTACTTAGTTTTCAAATTTTATTATTTTCTCTTCCGTCTTTTTGCTCATTACCCATGTTTCTGATCCATATAATATACAACCAGTGTTGACATTACACAATAATATTAACTAAAAACTAAAATCAACAATCTTTTAACATTTTTATGCCAGTTAATGTATTGTTAATTTGCATTAAAAGTACCACGAGAGCATCAATTGTCTCAGTACATTACATTATAAGATTGTTTCTTTTCCAGGTGGGTTCTGTATCGTCTAACAACAATGCCAAGGGGCAAACTGTTACGATACAAGGTGTAAACCTTCAAAACGGTAAGCTGATGCTGATAGTACATAGTAAATGGCTGTTTGTGCTTCAAACCTAGGCCGCATCATAGACAGCCTTGTTACAGCTTGTTATAAAACATATTATGTTAATGGAAATCAGTAATTTAAAGAGTTGGTAGACGTTTTACCGGCCAAATATTTATGACTCATGTTTGCTGCGGAGGTAGTTAATAGTGTATTCACTGTAATCTGACATTAGAGTAGTCTGTAGCCTAAATAAATCTATGATCAGTGAGAAGGGACTTGATCGACTTAACTAATATTTAAAGTAGGCCTAACTAGTATTTAAAGCTTCAGTGGTCTAAAAACTACATTTAATAGCTTTAAGCTTTCATTTAAAAGTTTTTGAAACAAGGTGAATACATCTGTTTGCAGTAATCTAACTATAAGTTAAGTGAATGATAAGGATCTTAATTGTTATTCTTTATACACCTTTCTGCCTTTTACCTTTTCCATTGCATTGACTCTCCATAAATAATATGCTTATGTGTTATGTGTTTTTTTCTGTGTCTTCCAAATCATTCGCCTCTGTGCCACTGTTAAACACACTCTGTGTGTTTTTCTGTGTCACTCGATCCTTTGACAACTTATCCTATGAGTTTTGTTTCCTTGTCTTCTAAACCAATGCCAATCCATCCTTTGAGTTAGACTACTGTCCAACTCAGAGACCTACCATTCTGTCCTTTGAGTTGTGTTTCCTTGTCTTCCAAATCAATTTCACTCCAGCCTGACACATTTCCCCCACCCTTACTCCCCTGAGAAGCCTTTGATTGACAGTTGTGGTTGTGTAGTTCCCCAGAACATGGTTGCCTGTACTGTGATGCTTACCAAGGTTCCAACGCAAAACAAGACCTTCAACGTCAGCTCCATGGCTCAGGGTAAGCCTCTACAATCAGAATCATTTGCACCTGCATGACGTTGTGGTCTTCAAAAGATAGTTGCAAGAATGGGTCAGATTTTTCAGTTCTCTAATTAAACAGCGATCTGGTCAGGCTACTAATTAATTGTCTGTGTTATTTCAGTGTTTAAAATTAAATTGGCATTTATTGATCATGTTGATTGGATTATTATAAGATCCTTCGGGTGTGCATTGTTTAGTCAACCATTTGTCCTTTGAAGGAATCTGTTTTAGATAGGTTCAACAGCAGGCTTACCTTACTGAAGGAAATAGATGAAAATTCACGAATAAAAACATACAACGTTTGGGCCTATGAGCTCCTTTTTCAGTAGTAGAGTCTTTCTATGTCTACTAATGATGAAGGAACTAGAAGCTTTTCAAATGCTGTGTGAAATGTGTTTATTTGTGCGTTTTTATCTATTTTTGTCAGTAAATGTGTACAAGCCAAGGGCTCGTGGTTGTGATTTTACTAAAAGTAGTATTGCACTGAAAGTTTTGTTTGTCTAATAGAGTTCAGTATATTAAAATTAAAATTTGTTTAAATGGTTGGGCGAACTGGTCTAGTGGTTAGGGCGTGGGACTTCGGTTCCTAAGGTCCTGGGTTCAAATCCCACCAAATTTTTTGGGTAATTTTTTGTCAAAAAAGTATTTTTTTTTTGTAAATAATGTGTTAAATTGTATATTTTATTTTATATTTATAATTATGTATGCAGGTTAAGTGTAAGAAAGGGTCATGTGGCCCTAACTTTGCCTGTTGAAATAAAGGATTTTCATTCATTCATTCATTCAAATCACCAATGGATTTTATCTAAGTGATAATGCCGCAACCCCTAGGTCTAGCCTGAAGTAATGTGAAAAAAATTCCGTGATCGTGCCTAGCGTGCTTGGACAGTAAAAAAAAAAACTGGGGGCACGGTAGGTTTAAAGGTTAATGAGCGCAAGGTGGTAAATGCCTTCATTACCATTCACTTTTCTATCCGACCCATTGGATAGGTAGATTAAGATTACATAAATTGTAGACTCAAGTAGGACCATCCACGCAAGGATATCTGGATATTGGAGATATCGCTCTGCAATAAGACGTACATTTAAGTCAATGAGTACATTTCACACTGCTTCTTGCTTTACAATGGAGAGCTGGTCAGCTTAAAAAGCCACTTGTTGTTTATTATAAACCACATAAAAAAATTTTTTGATGGGCTAGTTATGAATTATTCTCATGTGTTTTTATTGATAGTAGTTTTTATTTGTATTTATAGTAATTTTGATCTCTTTTTTTGTTCCGGTATCTTCTATAAGTAGCAGAAAATTCATTACTTTTAATTTCAGATACTGCTGGAGTTACGACTGTCAAAACAGTTTCACCAGCTGACTTGGTTGGATCTGCAAAGAAGAAGGTAAAATCTAGAAATCATCCTTATTAGGAGAGAATCTTAAAAATTAATATTTTTAGTCAAAAAAGAATGTAATTACTAGGGATGGACGAGATTGGATTTTTAGTTCGAGACGAGACGAGACGAGATTTTTTATTTCTCATAAAATTTCGAGACGAGATCGAGACGGGATTTCCCTTCTCATACACAACGGGAAATGCACGTTCGGAATTTTTACCTGATTTTGTAACATTGTTAGATGACTGTTTAAATACAAAAATAATGATAATAGGCAAGAGTATTTACAATCTTTTATTAAAAAACATCAGCATAACATTTTTTTATTAATCACGCCTAACTTATTAAAAATGCCTACGATTAGGAAACATAGTGATATCAGTTAGGATAGAGTTCAACTTATCCTAAAATAAAATAAATCATAAAATAAAATATTAATTTTGTTAAAATAGTTACTTGTTTTGACTTTTTTATAGTAATAAAACATTCCTCACACTGCTAACACTTAACAAAACTTCTCAAATGTTATTAAAATAATATTTACATTTGAAGAATTACAGTAATTCAATAAGAACGCCTTCGCAAAGGAAACGCAACTACAACACGCTCTCCTGTATTGCGGGTATTGCATTGACTTTCTGCAGGCGTTTTTAATTTTTTTTTTTTTTTTTTTTTTTTTTTTTAATTCTCGTCTCGATAAAAATCTCGGCCTAAAAAAATCTCGTCTCGTGTAACGAGATTTAAAATTTCCCGAAAATTTCCCGAAATTTCGAGACTTGACCATCCCTAGTAATTACTAACTCACAAGGTTGGGCTGTTGAAAACAAAAAATACTGAAAAATAACTGACAGCTATGAAAACTATTTTTCATAGCTGTCAGTTATTTTTTAGTAGCCCTATGGCTACTAAGATCAGTTATGCTTTTCAGGTTTTGCTTTTAGTTTTTTGATTAGAAATTTCTGGTTTTGACCGTATTACTAGAAAAAAATCACCGACCTTTCTTGTATTGCGTGGTCGGAAATCGCGATTGTGGGAAAACTATCACGAATAATGAACGTTGCCGCGAAAGCAAGAAATTATCATGGTAAATGATCAAAAATTTGGCCGCCATTGCAAAATGATCCCAGATGTGGCTGCAATCGCAAAATTTAGTTAGGCCTACCGTATAAGAGTTTAAATAATCCCGGAACATGTTTTGGATGCTGCCGTAATCGTGTAAGTCATCATAGATATTGTCAAAATTGCAGAAAACAATCAAAAGTTTTGCCATGACCGATGTGTTGTGATCGCAAGATATCACAGAATTCTCAGAATATGTTTTTAACAGCAGGTACAAGTAATTTTTTTTTTAGACAGCAAGTTTTGTTCTGGAAATTTTGAATCTTGAAATCCTGGAATTGTTCTTGAATTTTATTTTGATCAGATGCTGGACACCTTGAAACTGTGATTTAAGAAGCGTAATGCTATTTTGCAGGGCCCAGGTCGAGGACGAGGAGTGACGACGAGAGGAGGTCGAGGGGCGGCAGGACGAGGCCGAGGAGCTGGTAAAGTGATTCAGACCGAGGAAGCTAAGCAGAAGCAGCTAGCAGATGAGATGGCAGCCACTGTACATGCTCTGTCTCTAGCTGAAGCAGAACAGTTCGCAAACATTGTGAGTGTTAGTTGAATCTTTGACTAGATATAACGAGGCATTCCATTCCAATGTTAAATTTATTGTCAGTTTAGATATAACCAGGCATTCCATTCCAATGTTCAATTTATTATCAGTTTAGATATAACCAGGCATTCCATTCCAATGTTAAATTTATTATCAGTTCAGATATAACCAGGCATTCCATTCTTATGTTTTTCATTGACAGTTCTGGAACAAAAATGAAGAAAGATAAATCGAGCTATTGTCAGAGTGCACTGATGTAGATTGCTAGATTCTGTTGAATAAGCCAACTGATTCTTGATACCACCGATTCTTTTTTTGGACATTGGTCCCAGTATCGAGAATCGGTGGTCATTGTCTAGGAGAAGAGATCACAAAGTCCAACCCTTCTTAATATGTTTGAAAGAGTTGTAGGCTGATTTTAAAATAAATAATTTTATAGTATTCTGCAAATCAGAAAGTTCCAGTTAGCCATACCTAACAATCTTTCCAACGACAGGAATCGATGGATCAAAGCAGCGTAGACTCTGACCGAGTGATTCCTCTCGTCAACAAAGTGCCTGCCAAGAAACCTGTCAAGGTGTACCGACGGGCCATCGACATCTCTGCCACCACCCCCGGACCCAAGACCCTCAAGGTGCTCAAACCGGAGAAACATCCGACACCTCAGCCCAGGCCAAGGAAAAAATCTACCTCTGTCGAGTCTTCTAGTCATGATGGTGAGTTGACAACTGAACTTAGATCAACAATTACTACTTTGCAACTTGTAATCTGAAACGCTGAGCAAGACTGTGACACACTCCACGGCTAGGTCTCAGTCAGTGACGGGTCGTGGGCGGAACTGTGTATAGGTAACCTATGAACCAGGGTAATAACCAAGTACTTCAGTGATGCTGCAGGGCGCCACCCAGTTTCGGGGTATGATGCTGGTCGATAAACTGGGAATGTTCCAGCCCCAGGATGGTAACAGATTTTGCAGATCTCTGTAGTATTGAGTGTCTTAACCTATGCTCCTATATACCATGAGGTTCGACAGGTCCCTAAAATCTAAGTTGACTTAGCGTTGGGATGAGTTCAAATTTAGAGAAAATTGTTAATAAAACTGGATAATTCAGGGGTTGACCCACCTACGCCCACTATAATACACTATGACAAATACACTGGTTTTCAAAAATGACACAAGATATGACAAAATAAGTGAAGGTTTATTACAAGTTAATATTTTGAACAGACAAGCCTGACTCAAGTCCGGTACGAAATAATAATCAATCAAAATGCTACATACAACGTTCTTCGTTCAGTATTCGTTATTACCAAGACACTTGAACCTAAAATATAACTCAAATAGGCTATTTATTTATTTACTTTTTTTTTTTTTTTGTGTGACCAAAAGCTTTTGGAATTTCCGACTGCGCAGACGGTAGCAAAAATATATTTACAGAAAAGCAACAATTAATTTTACTCAAAAGACAACATTAGACAAAATAATATGTTCGACCGTAGTCAATAATCAATCCGACAAAGCAATAATATGACACAAAATACACAGTAATAATAGACAATCTTACAATTAAACAGGTGACAACAGAGACAAAATATATCAGGTCTCTAATCAATCCGGCAGAGCGTAATGTGACACAATACTAAATACACAATAATAATAAAATAGACAATCTTAAAACTAGGCAACACCAGCGACAAATATCAAAGACACTATTACCCTTTCGGCTACAATCCGAACGATTACCGTAATCTATATATCTCTAAAAGTTAGGCCTAGCCTACAGAATATGTTGAGACGATGGTTTAGTTGCGTCTAGCTCACTTGGCACTTGGAGTTGCACAAAATACAGTCTGAAGAGAGTTTGTTGAAATTTGAATCTTGATACACCAGAAGTTGATTAAGTTAAATGTCCAGAGAAATTGATTTAGTCTTTATATTTGGCCAAATTTAAAATGATTTAGTAGGCTGATAGTTGAACTGTAGTCAGATGGAAGTTACGGTAAAGGCTAGCCTAGGACTTATCAGACAGTGGAGGTCCGCTGCGATGACAGGTGGTAGGGGTGGACGTGGTCCAGGTCCGCAGCCCCGTACGATGTTGGATAGGCCAAGGTTGTAAGTGGGCCAATTCTGGTAACGTCTCTCCAGCAGTAGGTCGGATCTCTCACAAGCCGTAGGTAGGATCTCTCATAAGACGTATGTCTGAACTCCTGCAGGCCGGAACGTACACCCTGTAATTCCTCGTGAATAATTTCTGTTCTGGTTAAATATTAACAGTGGTCCTATAACTTAAGTCATGTGTTCCATGAAGGCTAGGCCTTGATTAGCTGTAATTTTAATCCATTTGATAGTTGTTATGACAAAAGGTCATTAACAGTAAGTGAAACTAGGTCTTAAACTGTTCTTGCCTCAAGTTAGGCCTATCTTAGAACAACTGAGCCACAATTTGGTTTCTGACATTTACAAAATAAATAATTTACAAAATACATTCTTTACATTTAATTTAGTGAGCGTAGGATGATTACATTTTCTAAGCTAAACAGGACATATTTAAAACACTGAACTACATATGAACAAAAGCATGGTGAACAAGTACAAGGTAGGCCTAGGCCAAGAATGACAAAAATTTCTAAAAACTACTAAATATATCATTTCTTCCTTTTGGACAACCTAACCTAACTTTGAGGAATCAAAACTGATTGTAAACAAATGGTTTAAACGATTTTGCAAAATTTGAGACCATGTGACTGACTCCTGTTGCAAACTTGTTGCTTTGCACCAACATGAAAATTACAAGACAATTTCTATCATAAAACAGGGAAAATGTACTTAAAACTATAAAATTATCAACATTGTTTGTGTCTTACCCACAGTGGTCTAAATTACCTACATAAGGTCAACCCTGGAATTATAATTTTGTGTTAATTTGACTTGAGAAAAACCCAGTTCACGTTGACTACGGCAATCTGTAACTTGTTTGAACAACTGAAAATGATTTCAATTAAAAACAAATTAATAGAATTTGGAACCCTGAAGCAATTAAAGACTTTTTCTGGAATCCCGACTGTCTTACCTCAGTATATAAATCCTTAAGAGTCTGAGGGCAAAATTGTAGACCGGCGTCCAGAAGTTGCAGAGATTTCTTGTGTAATTGATAAGTGATGGCGGCCAAATGAGGATGATTCAGCGTCTTCACTTTCAATCTCCACTCCAAGGTTCCGAGTCAGCTGACAGTTGTCTCAAACCACCGCTCTGATTGGTTGTCCTGACTTGTTCGAAAGCTCGCTCCGTTTCAGTACCGTACTAGCGTTGATTATGGTTTTAGGGTGTCCAACACAATTAAACTCCGCTGGATACTATATTCGGTCCACTGTGACGCGTCAAACAGTGTAGATATTAACATGGAGTGATCAGTTCCATGACGAATAATTGGGGCGGCCTTTTAACCGTGACAACTGAGCTCCTTCCCGCTTGATTGTAGCCAAGCGTATTCACTTTCACTCTATGGGTGTAATATTGTTATTTAAAGTACTAAAATTACCTGAAAATATCAGGAACCCACAGACCACTAATAGGTAGGCCTAAGTTGACATATCCTTTAGAAGCTATATCACATGTGGTGTATTTATACATGTTTAGATAAGCCTGCAGCAGACAAGGTGAAGAGAGAGGAGAAGGTGATTGTAGTGTCTCTGGAGCCTCAGATCACCCCGGCCGTGGTGACTGCAGTGGTGATGTCTCAGAATGTATCCACTACTAGTGTCACTCCCGCGACCCTTACACCTGTGACCACCCCTATGGCTGGCAGCAAGAAGTACCCCAAGAGAGAGAACCGCAAACCACCTGCACACTTGGCTGAGGCGTTTGGACCGGCTTTGTTCTCCACTCCAGGTTCGGTTGCATCATTTAATAATTTTGCTAGCAATGTGGGTGATGATGATGTCTCCACAATTGAGGGGGATGTCCACAATTTTTTTTTATATTGGAGAAGGTAATGAAGTCACCATGATTGCGGAATATGTCCACGGCGTAGCCAGAACGGCGAGTAACAGGGATAATGTCCTTGTAGGAGTTAATAACAATAGTGCCGTGATCTTGGATTTCAATCATAATAACATAGACTGAAAATTTATTTCGTCACTATTCTTATTTGCAGGAGTGTTTACTCCATATTCTTAAAACGAACAAGAGTTTGTCTTGTTGCACAGGAAGAAGAATCCTGTCCTAAACTAAAAGTACAATACCATCGATTCCTACCTATTCAGAGTTTCAACTGGTTACGTAAATGACTTAAGTCACAAAAAAGTCACTGATTTTATAAGGGGGTCACGGAAATCATTGAAAAGTGACAGGTTTTCATTTTGAGGTCCCAAAGCCACAGAAAACTCGTGCCTAGCAAAAATAAAGTTTTTAAGACCTTTCTTTTGCTTGTATCTTGCTGCAACTCTGCGAGCAAAGATTATATTCTTAATGCAGAATTGGTGAGAGTAAACATATTTTGGCAGCAGGAAACAAGCTTAAATAGAAAGCTTTTAAGACACAAAATATTCCTGCCACCTCTTATGGTAAGTATTGTCTTACCTGTACCAAAGGTCGTGCATTTTAACATCGTCTTTCCCCATACAGTGACTGAAATTAAGTTTCATCAGCTGGTAGACACCCTGCATTACATTCTTACAAGGTTTTTAAGATAAATTACATAAGTTTAGTTTATTGTTTAAGGTGCATTGTCCCTGAAGCGACTCTTGCGATAGTAGCTGAGCGATAGTAGCTCAGCGATAGTAGCTGAGCACTGGTTAGCGTTGTTTCAAATGAGACCATTGTCCTTGACGCGACTGCGACTGGAGCGGCTAGCGGCTGAACACAGCGACTGTAGCGGGTCTGCTCTGAGGGGAGTCAGAGTCGCAGTCGCTGAGCGATTTGTGTTGTGTATAGACTTGTTTTGGTCGTAATTTCTTCAAAGAATACGAAACTGCTTTTTACCCCTGAAGAAGATATCAGATATGTACATAATATTAAATCGCTACTATTATAAATTATAAATGAAAATACTTTTTAAACATGCAACGTTTTTAAACGCACTATAAAGTAAAAAAATAATTTATAAATATGTGGGGTGAATAAATACTTGTAAGATAAAAAAAAACGTGGGGCACATGCTGATTTACAATTATCTTTACATATTTAACTATCATTATCTAGTGCATGCACCCCACGTTTTTCGTTTTAAATCTTTTAAGTATTTATTCCCTCCACATATTTATAAATTATTTTTACTTTTTAGTGCGTTTAAAAACGTGGCATTTGAAAAAAGTATTTTTATTTATAATTTATTTTCTACTTTTTAGTCTTTAATGTGTAAATATGTTAAATCTATTTTATATGGCCTGTGAATACATACAAAAACCTTATTATCTGTAGTCATATGTTTTATATTTCCTTTGAACTGCTTATTTTATATTTAAAATCTCTCGGGAGCAGAACCTGCACCTCTACCCAAGCTTTTCGAACTGTCAAATTTAAGTATTTACGGCTGACTTCAAAATGTAAACATGGAAAATTTGGAAGCCCAAGGGGCTTAGCCCAAGGAAAGAAGGAAAATATGAAAATTAAATGATATAGTATTACATTGTCATCCATGAGCTGTGTTCTCTAGTTTCATTTCTCTAGCTCGACGGGAAGTTAGTTTAAAATGTATTGCAAAGTTTGTACCGGACAAGAAAGCGAGCTAATAAAAACGTTTTAAAATTAGGAGGTGTCATGGCACTCATAGCACCAATTCACTCGAAAGTCAGCAAACTAATATACAGAATCGCTCTAGGACAATCGCTTCAGGGACAATGACATGGTTAGCTACTATCGCTGAGCTACTATCGCTCAGCTACTATCGCTAAGCTACTATCGCAAGAGTCGCTTCAGGGACAATGCACCTTTAGCATGTAGACAGCAAAGTGATGGTTTAATTTTGCAGACATCATCAGAAGGGTGTCAGAAAAGAGTGGTACTACTACACCGGTGACACCTGCTGCCCCTGCTGCCAGTCCTACAGCAGTACCAGTCATACCGGTACCATCCCCTCCTGCTGCCACATCTATAGCCAGCACTGCTAAATGTACGTCAATCTTACTCTTCTTTGGGATTTATATGATTTTTTAGGCTATTACATTACCAAATGTTAGGATTGAAGTGTTATTTAAAAATGGTTGGGAAGTCTGATTTTGAGGCATCAAACAAGGATTTCCATTAAGCAGAGAGAAGTAAGGTGTATAGGAAAACTTGCTTTTGGGACGACCATGCGCATTCAGCTCTAGTATATCGTGCAAGAAAAATATAATTAAAATTCATTTCCATTCTAGCTCCTGAGCTGTTGTATTCAATATAATAAATAGGTTACATACCTTATAAATCCGACAAACAGCTCATTTTAATTGAAGGTCGTTTACATGTTTCGGCTTGTATCGGCCATTGTCAAAACATCGCAGTTGGATGGTGAAATCCTTGTCATTGTTTTCTACTAAAAGTACATACACAAACACATACACACGGACGGGACGAAAACATTACGAAAAACGAATAAATAGGCCTATTAAAAACACGGGCAGGACACACGCACACCGTTGTCAAGGTCAGGATGCAGACTGACCTTGACAACGGTGTGCGTGCGTCCTGCCCGTGTTTTTAATAGGCCTATTTATTCGTTTTTCGTAATGTTTTCGTCCCGTCCGTGTGTATGTGTTTGTGTATGTACTTTTAGTAGAAAACAATGACAAGGATTTCACCATCCAACTGCGATGTTTTGACAATGGCCGATACAAGCCGAAACATGTAAACGACCTTCAATTAAAATGAGCTGTTTGTCGGATTTATAAGGTATGTAACCTATTTATTATATAGAAAAATATACTTGTGCTGGGAAAGGAAGAGCCCCAGCGCCATGCACTATGCGGAAATTCCTTTCGCACAGGGTCTACCTCGACTGTGAGCGTTGTAGTACATGAAGGCCAGAGGGGCGTTGGACTTTGCCCTAGACACCAACTTCCCTCGCCAGTGTAAATTCTTGTTTTCTAATTAATTTTCCAATTTATAAGTACTTTTACCGCGGTTTCGATTTAAAAAGTTATGGTTAGATGGGGTTTTACAGTATAATGTTACAAATCTTTGTATAATTTTTTTACAAGATTCTTTAAAAAATCAACACTGAATTGTTTGTTTTATCAAACAGAACTATTCACTAAAAGTAAAATATTTGTTAAACAATTAATTATTTTCAAGCTATATTTTTTTCTTATTGATTGTAGTGGAAGATGAGCTAGGACTTACGGAGCCTGAAATACTGGAAACCATCAGCTCCCAGGTGACCAAGCAAGACGATCAGCTGTTGGAAGAAGCATTGTTGTTAGAGGAACTCAGCACATTGCCTACAGACGACATTTTACAGGTGTGTAACTACCTATTAGACTTTGGCCAGTATATTAAACTCCACCCCTAGATGTGTAAACAAGATTCTAATTGCTCTGAAGTTATTCTAAGGTATCTAGGGAAGTAGCTATTACTTCTATTATTATGCTATTATTAGTCTTCTTGAGAAGAACTAGGTTCCGGACCATTGTACTTTTTCATTTTGGAATGCTTAGAAGCCAAAAACATTACTAGTACACAGTAAAACACTGATTCACCGAAATAAAGTGGGTGAGGATGTTTTGGATGGTATATATTTTTTTATGGTATTGGGAGCTTTGGTTTAGCTTTGTAATAAAAAATTGTGTTTTACTGTGTAAAGGACCTGATTGACAATTTGTATAAACAATTTTTTTTTTCAGAAATCAGTCAAACCTGACCATATAAAGAAAGTTTTGTTTTGATTTTTTTTTGTCTTTTGGCAATAACTTAATTGAAATTAATTTTGTTTTTTATACATTTTATAAGTCTTTGTATATATTACCTTATTATTCTATGGGCGTATTTGTTACTAAGATAATTAATTAAAAAGCACTAAATTAATTGCCTGCTGTGTTGTCCTGAAGAATATTATTGGATTTGTGTAGATTACTTTTTTAGACGGGTGTCCAGCTGACCTGAAAACCAGGTTTTGTCCGTCTTAGTGTCAGTTAGCCCTGAGCTACGAGGGTGTAGAGTTAGGCCAGGACTCACACTCAGGTGTTGCCCATGAGAGTAGCTCCAGCATCTGCTCCAGACAATGAAAAAGCACGAGGGCAATGTCACCTCTGTGACAGGAAAAAAACAGTCCTACCCAATTTAGTCGCTTTTTTTGTGTTTAAGTTAAATTAATACCTAACTGATTAACTTTAAGTTTCAATTCACAAAGAAATAAGATGCAGACAGTCAGTCCGCATGCCTGTACTGGTGTTACTAGGGTTCAGTAAAAATGTTAGGTGATTTGTCCAAAATTTGAGAGTAGGCCTACATATAATTAATCCTCAACATAATTAATAAATAACAATTATTTTGACCACACTATTTCAACAGGATGATATCAATGACCCACTGCCTCCTCAGCCAACAGAAATTACAACACCGACCACCCCACCAACCATTAAAAAGGCACAGAAAAACCTCTCGCAAACTTCCCTATCAACGTTTTTCCCTAAAGTAAATCAAAAGGATGAGACTGTGACCGTACAAAGTCCGACCGCAGTCCTCTCGCCTGGGGGTCGTAAATTACCTCCGGTCGAGTTACCGGCTACTCGTGGCGCCACTAAGCGAGCCAGCCAAAAGAAAGATCAACCACAGGTACGAGTCATGCCTACTTGTAGACCCCCTACCTTGTCTAGCGGTGATGGTTCCAGCATTGACATTTCCCTGACCTCGTACAAAATGTAAATAAGTAGGGTTTCAACTTTTGTGCAAGTGTTAATAGCATAAATATATCATTCATAGTTATAAGAACTATCAAATTCTAGTATAATGTTGACAGAAATAAGACCAATAACCCGTTTTATGGCTTGGACAAATTGTTTAACAATACGATTATTCAGTTGTAATATTTAATTTAAAATATGTATTGTATATGTCTCCTTTTGTTGAGTTATCTATACAGTCAACTAACTCAACTAACTGACTAAGCTATAATTTTAGCTGTTTTATGACATTGTCAATAATTTGTTAAAAATTAAAGAACAATAAAAATTATTCATTTAAAGTATATTTGATTTCCTCTATTTTTTATATCAAGAAATGATCTTTGTTGACTGTAACTTAACACGTTGGAACCATCAAGATTTTTCTGAATTTTCTTAGGTTAGCAGTCCTTGTTGGAGTAACAAATATTTGAGTCTCCGATTCTAATAAGTCTGTTCATGACATTCATTGTAGTTATTGTTTGGGTGATACTCAATCTTGGAATTAAATTATTCTGCATTGTAGATGTAAATCTACTTATCATTTACCATTGAGTAAATAATAATAGAATATAGCATTGTCAAACAGTTTCACTAAGTTTTGAGTTCTACTGACACTTGTTGCTATTGTTTTTACTAATTTGTTGTCCTTATAGGAATCGCCAAGCGTGAAGACAGAAGTCAATAAAAAAGTACCAAGTAGTGTGGAGAAGGAGAAAAGAAAATCAACTGATTCCAGGAAATCCATAGATTCAAAGAAGTCTGCGGGAAGGTATAATTTTGCATGATTGAACATCGAGGTTACATTAAATTGTGATCAAAGTAATGGGATAATTTATTTTGTAATAGGTTGGTTTGTCATTAATTTAAGTGTCCCTGATACTTAAGGAAATGAAAATTAAAGAAGGCTCTAAGCATCAGCTGAAGTTTATTTAAGAACTATAACTTGAGTAAAACAATATATTGTCCATTGATGGGTGAGCCGGTGGCTCCGTCGATAGCGCGGCGGACTTTGGATCCATGGACGTCATGGGTACCTGCCACTACGTTTTATCAGTAAAGTTCACCCTTGTACTGTACCAGCTCACCCCTTGCTTTGCTGGATCAATGCACAGGCTCGAGACCTTTGTGTATGGGCAAATGAAAAAGCCTAAATAGCCCACAAACCTCTTAAAAAGAAGATTATACTAAACCATACAGGTTTTTTTTTCGTACCACATTATTTTAGACTCCTTGTAAGTTGTTAAGGTTAAAAGATTTCTAGGGGTTGAAACACATTTTGGGATCTACTGTGCTGATTATTAGACGACATATCAGTCATGACATGAAGTTCCTGCTGATAAGCAAAGACATAAATACTTGTGTTGATTTGCTGTTCAACACAAACATTTTCTTTTTTTTACTGATGTAGGTTTGGATCCAGCACTTAACATTATTACAGTATTGTACTACAGTAATATTACAGTATTACAATAACTTCATGTTTCATGTTATACGAGGGTTGTTTTTTTTTCAACCTCCGATATGCTATGAACAAAAGACAAGTTCATATAAAACATTAAATTTATTACCAAAAGTTTGGTCCATTTATGGTTACTTTTTGACGTAATCACCAAAGAGATTGAGACATTTGCTATATCTGTGCACCAGCCTTTTAATACCCTCTTCAAGAAAAGTGGCCGCCAGTACATTCAAAAAACAAAAAAAATTCAAAAAAACAAAAAAATGTCAAAAAAACTAAAAAAATCAAGAAAAAATCAAAAAGGACTTTAAAATTTCTAGAAATTCAGTAAATTAATCAATAATGGTGAATCTGTGGTTTATTTAACCATTCTGCCAACTTGTTGAACCAGCTCATTACTGTCGTTTCAGATGACTTGGTTCAACAGTTTGACAGGATGGTTAAATAAACCACAGATTCACCATTATTGCTTTGTTTACTGAATTTCTAGAAATTTTAAAGTCCTTTTTTATTTTTTCTAGATTTTTTTATTTTTTTTTTACATTTTTTGTTTTTTGAATTTTTTTTGTTTTTTAAATGTACTGGCGGCCACTTTTCTTGAAGAGGGTATTAAAAAGCTGGTGCACAGATATAGCAAATGTCTCAATCTCTTTTGTTCATAGCCTATCGGAGGTTGAAAAAAAAACAACCCTCGTATTAAGTTCATGTCTAGCCGTTATAATTTTTAATGTTACGTGTTATTTTGAATTTGTATCCATCTTATTCAACCTTTTTTGAGTTTTAATTATCTTTACTTTGTCATCATTATTTTTGGTTTGTCGGTTACGCATCACTAAATTATACACAGTTATTAAAAAAAGTGGTATATTTAGGATTTTTATCAAAACTCATCCTCAGCCTCAGATAACAACATGTTAGGTTTAACATAGGCCTAATATGTTGCAAACTCAATATTTATATATGATGGTTCAACTAAAACTTGTTAGGGCCCAACAAAAAAATTGTACTCCAAAAGTTCAGGAATTAATATGCGTTGAGTTGCGATTGATTGAAATAATTGTAGGAGTATTTAGGTTTGATTGGAAAAGACTTATTGCCTGAAAATTAAGGACACTAAGGACAGAATAAGCAGGCTTCCCATAAAAAATTTAAAGATGACTCTCGTGTAAATGATAATTTAGTAATCAACTACAGTATACATAGATTTTCTTTCCTTTAAAATATAACCTATAGTCTTATCATTGACTATTGGATACAGAAGTATAAATTAGTTATAATACTTATAAATAGTTAAAGCTAATAACATAATAGCGTAATAAAATAATATTTAACTATATGATGTTGCATTTGTGAGCGTTGCTGGCAAATGTCGGTCATGCACAGAGCGGCATTTAAGTGAGTTTCCCACTCCCATTAAGCGAGTGTAAGCGAGTTCTCTGTCATTACTTCTGTGGACGGAATGCTAGGCAAAGAGTTTCAGACCTTGTTCAGAGCAATGGCAGGACGACTAACAGAAAAATGGAAGAAACCTTACAGTTTAATGATGAAATGGATAAGGGTAAAAACCATCTGTGCGACATTAAAGGCCAGCGGCATGTGTCCAAGGAGGACAAGAAAGAAGTGGAGGACCCTTAGAGAATTTGAAGATGGGGCTGGAGTACTGGTTTTTTATTAATTAAAATAGCAAATGTTTATTATTTTTCCTATTAAATGACATGTTTGCAAGTTACCCCAATTGTTTGGCTCAGTGTGTGTAGTCAGCTGGTTTCAGGGATGACGCTGATTCTCTAGTCAGTGATGAGGTTAGCGACGAAGACGACAGCCACAACTCAGAAGATGATCCCAACAGACTTTGGTGTATTTGCAGGAAGCCTCATAACAATAGGTGAAACATTCAACTTACTTACTTGACTAATTGACTTAGTCCCGTTGACTGTTCCTCCCCACCTGACTGTTGGCCACCTTCCTCGAGATCTCCCAGGTTTTGGCTTTCTCCTTTGTTTCTTCTATGCCTTTTTGCATGTGTCTGGTTCTACCCACTCTCCTACTTCCTGTGGAGTTCCATTCCAATTGGACTGGACGGGATTTTACTTTCAGTTTGGGTTTAGAATTTTTAATTCCTTGGGATTTTCGGGACAGAATTTTTTGCAAAACTAAAAGGGGTTGTTTTAAAAAATAACATAATATCTTGCAAATGGAAACAAAGACAAAAAAGTTCAATTTTCAGTGTCGATGGCAAATTACATAAAGTAATAGGCCTACTTATTTCCCATCGATTGGCAATGTTCCATGAAAACCAATAATGGGTCAAAACACACAGGTTACCAAAAGTGTTAACTAAAAAAAATACATATTTGGTGCAATTCAACTGAGAAACATCAGTCTTGATACCTCTAGTTCATCATAAACAACTATTAAAATGTAAATAGACTCTCTTAGAATATAAAAAGCTTGTAGAGTTTTGAGGCCTGACGGTCACCCGTAGAAAAGCAGGATTAGCTTGTACACACTATAACTATGTGAGGTTGTAGAAAAGCAGAATTAGCATGATAAACATGACTATGATTATGATTAGCTTTGGTAATTTGAAATGTTGTAATGTAACATCAGTCTTATTAGAAAACACCTCTAGCTAATCATAAACAGCTGTATTAAAACTTAAATCGACTATCTTAGAATATAAAAAGCTTGTAGAGTTTAGAGGCCTGATGGTCACCCGTAAAAAGCAGAATTAGCTTGAGTAATTAAAAATGTTGTAATGTACACACTATTACTATTTCATCAATTCATTATAATCTGTGATTACGGCGCCTTTTCTTGGGTTCGTTGAGCCATCGTTAACATCTCCAAGGTGTCAAGAAGTCATCATTATTGTCAATCGCCATACTGGCGACATCTACTGTGATTGTAGAGACAAGGTTGCCACTCGCGACACATCAAATTGCTGATGGTTAGAACCGATCCCGAGTTAAATTTAATCCCACCCGATCATCAGGAATACATTTTTCTCATTAAATTTCCTGAAATTTTGGGATCCATCCATCCCTATTTTCCAATACTTCCAAATCACCATTTGTCTTCCACAGGGTGCCCTCCCCATCGCTATTTCATGCATGTTATTTTCACTTTATTTGGCTCTTGATTTGTGTGATACCACAATTCTTTGTTTGATATTGTTTCAGGCCACCTTATTCTTAAAATTCTTCTAAAGTACTCTTGTTTATGCATGCAGCTTATTATTAATCACAGTTTTTTATGTTTCCAGGTTTTGCACCTTTACAGCAAGCAACCTTTATTACATTTGAGTTTAAATATATCATATTTTTCAATTGAAAATTATTTGCTTGCAATATTTTTATTGCTCTCATAGAAGTAAGATACAGTTAACTCCCTCTTATCCGTACACTTTTTAACACACTCTACACTCGGCAGAAATAACATCTCTTTAACCAGAAAATTTCTATCAGCACATTGGTTTAACCGGACTAGATCGGCAGGAAGTGGGCGGTACTGAAACGACTGTTCTCGTGGGAAAGATTTGAGACCAGTGATCACGTGTCTAAATACAATGCTCTCCTACATTTTAGTCAAATATCACAGTAAACAGTCCGTTTTAACGAGTTTTTAGTGACGTCGGTTTAACCGGAAAAACCGTTATCCGGACTGGCCTCGGTCCTGAGGAGTCCGGATAAGAGGAAGTTTACTGTACAGATGAAACTTGCTTATGGGACAACCGTGCCCGAGCGGTGAGCACAGTGCGGAACTTCCTATCTCACAGGGCATATGGTCTTCCTCCACATGAGTGCTGGATTGTGAGAGGGGCGGTGTTGGACTTTGCCCTAGACACCAGTGGCTAGTGCTAGACACGATTTAAGTGTACCATTGAAAGTTTCCTCTATACCTTACTTCTCTATGATTTAGCGTACTAAAAGCTACAAATGCTCACTTTTTTCCTTTTTACATCACTTTCCGTCCCTCCATTTCTGTCAATTAACTTTGGGGTTATGTTTTCAGGAAAAAGCATTATTTTGTCAATTAACTTTGTATCTTTGTATGTATTGTGATTATTGTGTAATGATTTTTGCCAAGAAAAAAAAATAATTGAAATACACTACCTAGGTACAAACAGTTTTCAGCATCCTCTACTTGTTCAGTCTCAAGCATAATTATATCTCTATCCTCGTAATTTTTATCTTCGTGTTGTTAGTTTTTTCCTTATTTATTAGCAGGTCTGTGTTTAGGGCTTCTTGTCTCTGTGTCTCTGTCTTTTGCTTTGGCTGTGCCCTGTTCACACATATCATCTGCAAACTCTAAGTTTTCCATCTGCTCAAAAACCTTCCAAATGATTGCTGTTCGTCCTTTTGTGTTCTTCTTCACTTTAGTCTTACTCAGTATAACAAATCTGAAGCAATTTTACCGAATATTTGTTTTATCAAGGATTTCGTTAAAACAAGGTTTGTTATATTGAGGTTATGTTTGCAGGAATTTTGCTAAGTAGAGGTTCACAACAACATCGGTCAATATAGGTCGATGTTGATCGTTAAAACACAATTTAGTAGCATAGACCGACAGACCGCATTGTAAATTAGAACTTCGATTGAGGTAATAGGGCGAGGGAGACCACGGATAATAAACACTAAAATTAATCCAACATTGTATAAAAAATGGAAAACCCATAAAACCACTATAATACAGTGTCAACAGCTCATTACTGTCACAATTTGCATTTTTATTAACAAAATACAATATTGCACAACATTTCAAGTCATTGACCTTGACTTCAATTATACAAACTGTAATGTTTAAAATCACAGCTTACAAACTCACCTAAAAACTAGCCAAACATCGCCATGGTTACTTTACACCCAATCACAGTATACTAATCGTTATGTCGTCATCAGTCCCCAGCTAATGAAATTTGTTGTGACATAGTGCACAGCAGACAGATGTGTAAAAGCAGACGATTGTCAGCCCAACCGTTGACTTACATCTTTACATTACATTTTCATCAAAGGAACTGTGATGTTCAAAAATAGTAATGTTTGGGGTTCGTTATATAGAGAGAAAGACGCAGAATATTAACATGAAGACGAGAAAAAGATTAACAGAAATGGGCATTCCTCAGTTGAGTTAAATTTGAAGCTCAGCAAACTTATGTAAACGTAATAATTAGGCCTATTAAATAAAATTGTTTTTGTTATTTTGGGGTTTTCTTCTTTTTTTTTAGTTTGAAATTTTTAGTATCCAACCAAATTTAGAACTTTTGGCTTATCAAGTATTTTGCACACACTATGTTCATTATAATCGCGCATGACGACGATGACGTATCCGTGACCACGGGAGACAACGATGGCGTTTCCGTGACCGCGGAGACAACGATGGCGTTTCCGTGACCGTGGGAGACGACGATGACGTTTCCGTGACGGCGGGAGCATACAATAACGTTTCTGTGACTGCGGGAGACGACGATGACGTTTCCGTGACCGCGGGAGACGACGATGACGTTTCCGTGACCGTGGGAGACGACGATGACGTTTTCGTGACCGCGGGAGCAGACGATGACATTTCCGCGACCGCAGGAGACGATGGCGTTTGCGTGACTGCAGGAGACGACGATGACGTTTTTGTGACCGCGGGTGACGACGACAACGTTTTCGTGGCCGCGGGTGACGACGATGGCGTTTCCGTGACAGCGGGAGACGACTATGACGTTTCCGTGACCGCGGGAGTAGACAATGACGTTTCCGTAACCGCGGGAGCATACAATAACGTTTCCATAACTACGGGAGACGACGATGACGTTTCCGTGACCGCGGGAGCAGACGATGACGTTACCGTAACCGCGGGAGACGATGAGGACGTTTCCGTAACCGCAGGAGACGACAATGACGTTTCCGTGACCGCGGGAGCAGACGATGACGTTTCCGTAACCGTGGGAGACGACGATTACGTTTTCGTGACCGCGGGAGCAGACGATGATGTTTTCGTGACCGCGGGAGCAGACGATGACATTTCCGCGACCGCAGGAGACGATGACGTTTCCGTGACCGCGGAAGAGGATTATAATGTTTCCGATACCTCTGAAAAAAATCAGAATTTTGTCACGACCACGAAAGATAGTGGTGATGTTTCTGTTACTGAGTGAGATATTCAGGATTTTTCAGTTATCGCAGAAAACGATGATGGTGTCTCTATCACAGTGTTAGATGATCACAATATAACCTCGAGTTTTGCTTGACCAAAAATTTCAAAATGGCACACTTCTAGAAAGTTTTTTTATGTTTTGTAATATCATTTACATTTACTTTTAACGTGGTATTTATTTAATGTGTTTAGAAGGTTTTAAAATTTTAATTGGCTATGTGAAATTTTTTTTAATTTCTGCATTAATTATTTCTGTAGGTCACTTGAGAAACAACCTATAACTCCAAAATTACATACTATATGAAAATACACAAAGACAGGGGTTGGTGTAGTAATAATTACAGAAAATTTGGTAAAATTGAAATTATCAGTATTAAGAATCTATTTTTCAGGTGTCTGTGCAGAGATTCAAAGATTTTTGTATCAACATATCACTATTTTTAAGAAGTTGTTGATAAATTGCAGGTTTAAGGATCAGTTTTAATTTTCGGATTATTTAATCAGTGATATATAAAAATTGAATACTTGTGTCAGGCAATTAATATTACAGTAATCATAAATTTTATTTCTTAAACTGAGAATGCTCTTTCCGATAACTAAAATAGCGAGCTGTGTTAGCGCTAAAACAGTATTGCGAGAGTTGGCGCAAAACAAGCTGGAAATTTTAGTATGAAAAGTACGAACTGAACTACCTGGATTTTTTTTTTACTCATGAATTTTTTCTGTTTGGCCTGGTGGGCACCCTGTTATACTTGTTTTTTGCCAATACTGTTTTATAACAACTAATTTAATCTCTTAAATATTTTAAAATAAAATTATCTTAATGTGTTAACTGATACTATTTTAGTCACTACAAAACATGCAAAGAGTAAGTTGGAATTTAAAGGATACTTTACTTATTACCAAGGCTCACATGAATAGTTGGTCATTCTTAGATTCTAGTTTTGTAAGCCGTTTCAACAACTATATAAATGTTTGGTTTGCATTTATTTTTGGCTTTTTGGTTCAGTTTGAAACGAGGTGATCGCTTTAATTAAATTAAATGTCTTCAGTAGGTAGTTGTTTGGTAAAGATTTTTTTTCTTATGATTAAAATACAGACTTAACTCTACAATATACTCTATAACAATATAAACTTTTTCTTAATATACATTAAGGGTTTTCTCTGTTACATCCCTTTTCAGCTGTCCTATTCAACCAATTTTTACAATCGAGGTGTTATTGTAAAATTTATGAGCTGCCGGAGCGACGAATGGTAACTAAAAAGATCATTTACTTAAGGGTTTACCCGCCATTAGCGTTTGATTTTAATTTTTAATTTAGAGTTTGCCTTCAAAGATTGAGGGATAGTGATGCTGATTAACTTCCTATATAACGGTTCGAATGTGAATTTACATTTGAACAGCTGATTTTTCTGTTGAATACTAAACCACAGGCAGATTGTAAATAAGAGACAAAACAGTTGATGAAAAAATATTTTAAATATGCTACCTATATATAACTGTAACCTGATTGAGGTACCTAGGTAAATCACTCTTCATGTTGTAAATCTAAAAGCAACAAATTTAATTTATTGAAAATTAGTAGTTCTTTTCACCTTATAACAGTCTCAAAAGAAATATACTTTCTTACTGATAAGGCGTTACAAATCTCAGTCGATTTGTTGCCTTTGTAGATAGGCCCACTCTTCTCCATCCGGATTGCTCCTCCGCACTATAATATCACATCCTTCTTGACTTGGTCATACCATCTTAATTTAGGCCTACCCAACGCACATCTTCCTGTAGGTACGGCCTCATAAACCACCTTCAGTCTCGTGCTTTCCTGAAAAAATACAATCTTTGTAAATGAAAAGGGTATTGCATTATCGTTTTGCCTTGATTTTGATTTGAACCCTATAAAAATGTATAAATGTATTGCGTCGGCGTAGTAATGTGTAAAACAAGACAGAATAGTTGTGAGAGTTTATAAAGGTAAACAAGGTAAAAAATTACTATGTCCTGAATTAGTTAGCTAAAATAATAGGGAACTTTGATACAAAAAATATTGTTCATCCTGCAGGCCATAAGTGCCTTATTGAACCTTGCTAATTTTCCGTCAGTTTCGACTTTTTTGTAAACTTGAGCTCGTGTAAAAAATAATAACTTGAGGCAGTATTCATCAAATGTATTATACTTTTCATACAAATTAAATAAAAAACATCATTGAAAGCATCAACTATCTGCCAGTTTTTATCTATCACATTATTCATATCTGTAAAGTTTCTTAAAAATTCTAGGCCAAACTTCTAAAGTTTTAATGTTGCAGGTTTATGATTTGCTGTGATTTCTGTGAAGATTGGTTTCATGGCAAGTGTGTCGGTATTACTAAAGCAATGGGTAAGTTTTCAAACAATTAATTCAAACTAATAAAAACTTATGTCATTTAGGACAAAGTGAAGAACAGTCTTTTTTTGTGCACAACTTATGCATATTTCTCAAAAGGTGAATTTAACTTAAAAATTATCAGTACAATTGAAAATGTTGACACCAAATTTTCAAAGGATTGTCAATCAGTTCATTAAGACTGCAATCACACTTGGGTGTCTATATAAGGTTATATTAGTGTCTATATGGTTTTTGAAAATTAAAAAAATTACGTTTTGCTTCACCGTTTTAGTAATTTTTTATAATGTGCAGAAAATATCACATAAGTATTTTTTAACTAGGGCTAACTATATTTGGCTCTTCTATTAAGTTAATTGTTTTTGTAAAGTTTATTGACGGTTATTTATCAATCATTTATGCAGAATTTACAAAGACTCAACAAATTTAGAAATTAGCCTAAGTCATACACTTTCACCACATTAAACTTTCTCTGTTGGATACAAGGTGAACAAATGGAAGAGAATGAAACTGAGTGGATGTGTCCTAACTGTAAGAAGAAAAAGAAGCTAGAGGAAGCGGCAGCGAAAAAACAAGTAGAGGTGACCAAAACTACACCTACTGTTGGGAACATGAACAAGAAAACGTCACCGACCGTCGCTCCAGTGACTCCAGCGGTGGTAGAAACTCCTCCTGCTCCTGCTCCTGCAAAGAAACCAGAAGCCAATAAGGTATTCAAATACTGTAACACATTTTTGTCTAACAGGGACTAACTTTTAACTATAATAGATCAATAAAAAAACATTTTTTAAGGCAGAAATTCCAAAAATTTTCCTTACGCACAATGCTTTTTTCATGATGATATCACCTTAGACAAAATTTACATGGATACCTAATTTTTTTGTAAAAGTAATTAAATTTATTTTGTTGTTGTCAATAACAACACGAGGGCTTCTTTTATTAATTAAATTAAATATATTTTTTTATGTAATGTTTATTGACTAGCTGTGAGCCCTTTCTACGAATGGGCATCTTGAAGCCAGTTAAAACCTTATTTAATTCAGAACACTGAACAGCAGTGATCCCCATACATTTAAAAATAACATAGTACTAAGTCACAAAGGTGACCCAAAATGGTTTTTTAAAAGTTGTTTTCTCTACATAAAACGCTCCGAAAATCAGTTTAAAGTTGATGTAGTGTACAATACCCTGGTTAATGTTTGATAACCGTTAGTGAGATATGACCTCAATCTTTGTAAATGAATTATTTGAATTACTGTTCCCAGATATTGTAATTTTTTCCAAATTTGTTCATGAAATATTATCAAAAAAATTTTGAAATATCCTTGAAAGCACTAACATTTTCTTTTTTGTCTATAAATTCTTAAATTGATTCTGCAAAATTGATCAGCACTGTGATGACTGTTTATTTTGCTAAAACCACTGGTATCCAAAAGGCTATTTTGTCCAAAAAATTACTTAATTCTACTATGCATGGCATTTTCAAAACTTTTGAGATTGAAAGGAGAATACAAATCAAATCAGATCAAATCAAATCAATCTTTATTCCAGAGACACCAATGTACAGAAAAAGAAAACATACAGAAGTGTAGGCTGCGTCAATATAGTCCTAGTCAACAATAAACAATTAATAAAGCATTGGTCCTAAAAACAGTGTTTCAATAACAAATTCTTAACAATTTTAAATTTATCTAATGGTAACACTTGAATATAATTTGGTAAATGGTTGAATAATTATTGAGGAATATTTAAAACTATTTTGAGTTATGCTATATGTACGGATATAATTTCTAAGTTCATCTCAGTTTATGGTCTTATAACTATGGATATCACTGTGGGACTGCATTATTTTTACAAGTGTTTACATTCTTTTTACAATACACAAGACAGAGATATATATACAAAATAAGAGGCATGACAGAAAAACGACTATTATGGGTTTACAATGAGTTTTTGGTGGAGCACCAGCAATTAATCTAAGCAAAACATGTTATGTCGTAGGTGATAGTTCAACAGCAGAGGTTGGTGGTGTTAGGACAAGAGACTCCCAAGGCGAACACCAAAGGAACGGAGATACGTATCACCAAGGTGTCCAGCCGCAAGTCTATGGATGATAGGAAACCAGCAGAAGAGACTGTGTCAGAAACAGCGGCTACGGAACATCATCCACCTGAGACGTGAGTACTTAAAATCTTGAGATTCTGATAGAGGCAAAATAGTGTTAAAGGCTATGTAATGGAGGGTAGGCCTGGTGAGCTGGGTTGATGACCTGTGGTCAGGCCTAAGTTTTGAGTGCCGCGGGGAGGGTAAGGCAATTTTAGGTTTGTCAGACAAAACATATGGTATATCTGCTAGGAAAGTATAGGAAAGCCGGCCATTTGGGACATAACTTAAGTGTTTGGTAAAAACACCATAAAATATTTATTTATTGACATTTTTATTGATTTTGTTTAGTAGGTACTGACATTTTGCATGGTAAAATGCCAATTTCAATAGGGGTTTTATGAGGTAAATTAATATATTCTTTTGCAAAACACATGTCTTATAGTATGGCACAAATTTCCCTGTCTTGAGCTGGTTTGAGGTGTAATTTTGTACTAGGCCCAATTTCATTTCTAGAAAAAGCTGGGTCTTCAATATTTCTACAAGAACCCTAGAATTAAGAGAAAGGTTATCATCTGATATGTGAAGTTTGAGGCCTAACTTTGGCCCAAAAGAGGCATTGTATTGCATACAAACCAGATTGGTCTATACTGACACATTAACTGAAAGTCTTGTTCTACAACACATTCTAAATGGCACTGTCATTCATTACTAACCAATGGCTGACCAACTAACAGTTGAAAAATGACCAACCATTATTTTAATAATAAAAGAAATAAAAGAAAAGGGTGTCCACCGACCTGGAAAACCGGAATTCTGTGTGAATTTTGTATCTAACGGGGAATTTTTTGCCGCGATCGCGCATGATGACGATAACGTATCCATGACCGCGGGAGACGACGATGACGTTTCCGTGACCGCGGGAGACGACGATGACGTTCCCGTGACCGCGGGAGACGACGATGACGTTTCCGTGGCCGCGGGAGACGACGACGGCGTTTCCGTGACCACGAGAGACGATGACTACGTTTTCGTGACTGCGAGAGACGACGATAACATTTCCGTGACCGCGGGTGACGACGGTGACGTTTTCGTGACCGCGGGAGACGACGATGACATTTCCGTGACCGCGGGAGACGACGATGATGTTCTCGTGACCGCGTGTGACAACGATGACGATTCCGTAACTTCGGGAGATGACGATGACGTTTCCGTGATCGCGCATGCAGACGATGACGTTTCCGTGACCGCGGGATACGACGATGACGTTCCCGTGACCGCTGGAGACGACGATGACGTTTCCGTGATCGCAGGTGAAGACAATGACGTTTCCATGACCGCGGGTGACGACGACGATGTTTCCATGACAGTGGGTGACGACGATGATGTTCTCGTGACCGCGTGTGACAACGATGACGTTTTCCATGACTTCGGGAGACGACAATGACGTTTCCGTGATCGCACATGCAGACGATGACGTTTACGTGACCGCGGGAGATGACGATGACATTTTCGTGACTGCGGGAAACGATGATGATGTCCAAAAATATTGCTTGACGATGATGACCGCAGGAAATTATTTGAATTAAGCTACGATCGAGGAAGATTATGATAACTTTACTGTGATGGCTGGAGACGATTTTAATGTTTCCGTTACCGCTGAACAATATCAGGATTTTTTCAGGACCACGGAAGACAGTGGCGATGTTTCTGTTACTGAGTGAGATATTCAGGATTTTTCAGTTATCGCAGAAAACGATGATGGTGTCTCTACGACTGTGTTAGATGATTACAATATAACCTCGGGTTTGGCTCGACCAAAAATTTCAAAATGGCACACATCTAGAAAGTTTTTTTATATTTTTTTGTAATATCTTCATTTACCGGTACCTTTAACGTGGTATTTATTTAATGTGTTAAGAAGGGTTTAAAACATAAATTGGCTACGTGCAATTTTTGTAATTTCTGCATTATTATTTCCGTAGGCCACTTGGGAAACAACCCATTACTCCAAAATTATACTATAGGCCTATGAAAGTACATAAGGCCATGGGTTGGTGTAGTAATCCTTCAGAAAATTTGGTAAAATTGAAATGATCAGTATTAAGAATCTATTTTTCACGTGTCTCTACAACAGAGATTCAACAAATTTTGGTATCGACATAACACTATTTTTAAGAAGTTATTGATACATTGCAGGTTTAAGGATTAGTTTTTAATTTTCGGATTATTTAGTCAGTAATATATAAAAATTGAATACTTGTGTCAGGCAATATTACAGCAATCATAATTTGTTTTCCTTAACTGAGAATGCTCTTTCCGATAACTAAAATAGCGAGCTGTGTTAGCGCTAAAACAGCATTGCGGGAGTTGGCGCAAAACACGTTGGAAATTTTAGTATGAAAAGTACGACCTGAACTACCTGGATTTTTTTTTTACTCATGAATTACTCATGAATTTTTTCTGGTTGGCCTGGTGGACACCCTGAAAAAAAAAAAACGGTAGGCTACAAACATTTAAATACAGTCTCCTGTAAACAGTCAAAATAAAATCACACAATTAGGCCTACCAAGTTCATAACACATTATTCAACTATCAACAAAATAAACCTAAAAAACTGTCAGGAAAATAAAAAGTGTTGTTTATTTTAAAAGGTTCAAAATGTACTACAACCTGTACTGTAGTTAAAACTAAAACAACAAATCAAAATGCAAACAACCAACATTTGTTGGAACATTAACAGACAAAACCACAACACATGAACCATCTGTGTAAAGCCATCTTATATTGGGGGTCTGACTTAAGGGAGGTACAAATGAGGCAACGATGACATAGTTTAGTTCAAAATTCCTCCGTTAACAGCGTTGTAGTAGAGAGCACAGAGCGTACTTTTACTTCACTATTAGGCCTAGTTAATTAAAAAATTAAGAAAAATTAAAAAATTAATCTTAAAATTGTTCTATTATTAAATTAAACTTAAACGTGAATGAAAAAATCGAATGAAGGTTTACTAATCTAAAAAATAGTTTTGTTCATAAAATAAAGTTATTAATTCCTAAAATTCAATTTTATAATTTTTTTATTATAAAATTAAATTGTCATAACCTAACCAAACCAACCAAACTTGCTGATATGAAAAAAAAATTTTTGACAAAAAGTTAGTGCTGCCAGCGGGATTCGAACCCGGCTCCTTCGGATTATCAGCCCAACACGCTATCCACTACACCACTGAGGCCGATGACTAAATTCTGTATCGTTGCGGTAATGGTGTTCCCTCAAAAGGAGATCTGACAGCTGACGTCATCGAAGGCTCTTCTGTACCTCCCTTGAGTAAATACCTTATATTGGTTGATGCGTGAATGTTTTTGATTTTCTGACCACATTCGTCTAGCAAATAGTTATTGCCAACCTCCTTCTGACACCTTTGGATTGATTAAAAGCCGGTTTAGTCGAAATATGATATTATAAAAGTGATTTTCCAATCATCTCATTTCGTTGGCGATCTTGAGTGTCTATAAGGGCGATGCGAAGGCACTCAAAGCGTTAAACACTAATGCCTTGCCTCAGGAGCTGTTTGGTTCAATAAATATAATACCTTTCAAGGTAGGGAAAGGGGTCAGTCAGTCTATTTTGGCAAAAGCAATACTTTTCCACATACTGTAAATTGTTTAAAGTATTCTTAAACTCGTAAAGCCGGGTTAGGGGAGAAATGAGACTTAGGAATTGGCTAACTCAGGAACTCGCTAACTCGGTCGTGTGGCGGAACTGGCTAACTCTGGAACTGGCTAACCGTCTCAGTCAGGAATTGGCTAACTCCGGAACCCGCTAACTCGATTTTGTCTCGCGGCGGAATTCGCTAACTCTGGAAGTCGCTAACCCGGCCGCGCCCACTGCTCGGAGCGTTGCCAACCTTGTACGACAAAATAATCGTACACTGCCGTATTTCAAAATGTCAGTGTCTATAAAGATACAGTAAATGTTATTTTTTTGTTATCAATTCCACTTTTAACAGATAACTAGCCCAAAGTAATTAAAAGACAATTAAAAAATCATGAAAAAGTGTTTTTTATGAAACTGTACAATGGCCAATTAAATGTTTATGATTTCGATCATAAATATAAATGCCATCAGTATAAAAGAAAATAATAGAATAGGAAAAATATTCAAAATTTAGTTTAATTGGTAATAAATAATTAAACCTCTACGAAAATAAGCTAAAATACACGCAAGTTCTTAAACACGGAAAACAGATTTAATTGTAATGTCGTAATAAACCAAAACCATTAATTAATACAGTCATCAACCATCGTAACTTTCATAATTAATTCATAGATTTTAAATTAAATGTTCGTCATTGAACCGTCCAACTTACGTGTACAAATATGATGACATAGACTAAGTTTTTATCTAGGCCTAATAGTTTGAACCAAAGCATTGTAGGCCTACTAGTAAATAGTTGCCTAATTCTAAAATGTGTTGAATTTTTTAGCAATAATGTTACATGTTTTTAAACAGTTTTTTGATTGTACACCTAAGCACCACTAGTAAAAAATAGGAGAAGATATAATATTCATATAATAAAACGTGACAGGGTTATTTTAATTCACGATTTTTAATAAACTAATTGACGGATTTTCCTGATTTGAGTGTTGGGTTTCCTTTATATTGCTTTCACAAACGATATACTCGTAAACTATACCAAGCCATTGCTCGGTTCACCGTTCCCCAGTACTGAGCTACACAATAGACAGTAGCTTTGTTTTTGGATAAGATAGAATCAGCCTGGAAAAAAACTCCAGACTTTTAAAAAGTAAGCCTACTGAAAGACGTAAAATTAATATTAATTCAACAAAATTAAGATGATGACCCGGGTTCTACACTAATAGCCTACGATAAAAGAAATTTACAAGTTGTATTTATGCATAGACTAACTTTTAATGCAATCCATGAATACATTAGGCCTACCACTTTATAATGTATTGATAAATATTTATTTAAATTCAATAGCTCTATTTAAAAATACATAACCACTACAATGTAATTCTGTAATGACGTTTAACGTGTAAATTTTATTATGATTTATGATTTAAGGTTACTACAAGCCCAGTATATAAAATACGAACTCAAAAATTTTATTTGCAGAAGTTCACAAAATGGTATTTATTCGAATAAAAGAAACAAATGGCGGACTACGAAAATAGATATTTCATAACATGTAATAGATCCAAATTAAATGTGCATTTTTATCTTTTTCATACCAATAAACTACTATTATGTAAGAAACCCACATATAAAACATACTCCCTTATATTAGTACATTTCTCATCCTTATGGATGATCTGAAGACAGTTGTATTGTTAGTTCTGTCCGGTGTGCTGTCTTTAGAGGTCGTGTTTGGTTTACAATTGTTTCTTGTTTTCAGTAATTTAAAACCTCGTTTAACCAAATAAAACGTTCTAATCACAACTAATAACACGTCCCCTAGTTATATAACCAAACAGTAAGGAACAAATCATGAAGTTAACTATAAAATAATAGAAACACAATTTTGTCGACACTAGCGATCAGTGTCACCGGACATGAACTAGACACGAAAAACGAGCTTCAAAGTTTACAATGGGATGTAAAGTTTACTTGTGTTGGTTAGTCTATGGTAAGACTATAATGCATTTTCCACCCTAATAATCATAAGAACTTCTCTGTGGTTAAACATACTTCAAAATATATTTATTTTATCGACTACGTTGCTCTTACTCCTAATTAAGCGTAGGATACGACATTATGGTGCCGATACGATATAGGTACTACACTTTCGGCAACACTGGCCAAAAATATTCGTGCTTGGCTCCCATTGGACGGCCCGCGAGGCTTCTGATTGGGAGTTAGCGAGTTCCGCCGAGGGACCGAGTTAGCGACTTCCGTACGAGGACGGAATTCGCTAACCCGGCTCTAGAGCGGGTTAGCGGGTTCCGGAGTTAGCCAATTCCGAAACCGAACAAGTTAGCGAGTTCCTCTCATCGACCAAATTTGAAGATAGGGCATTTAACATGGGGTTAGCGAGTTCCAGAGTTAGCCAATTCCGCGGACCCGGAGAAATTAGAAATGTTTAGACCTAACAAGATTTGGACATATAGTGTACTGTGGTCACTAATACAGGTGCCTGGTTCATCCACAGGGGCCCTGCTGGGGAGTGTATAGTGTGCAAGAAGGAGTCGTTTCCTGGAGGTGTGTACTGCAGTGACGAGTGTATTGCCAAACATGCTTCAGAATCCCTCTCAGTGTTGGACAAGAGCTCTGTCATTGTGTTTGAGAAAAAGACTGGCCGCATCTTTGCAGGTAAATAGGGGAAATAGTTAACATACAGTATATAATGGAACACCTCATATCCAGCCACCTTGGGACCTAGCTCCAGGCTGGAAACCAACCTATTATAAAAACGTTAATTTAACCAAATACTGTCAATATGTTTAATATTAATTTTTTTTTTCTGTTGATTTATAATAGAACACCTCATATCCAGCCACCTTGTGACCTAGCTCCAGGCTGGAAACCAACCTATTATAAAAACGTTAATTTAACCAAATTCTGTCAATATGTTTAATATATATTTTTTTTTTTTTTTTGCTGTTGATATTAATGGAACACCTCATATCCAGCCACCTTGGGACCTAGCTCCAGGCTGGAAACCAACCTATAATAAAAACGTTAATTTAACCAAATTCTGTCAATAAGTTTAATATTAATTTTTTTTTTGCTGTTGATATATAATAGAACACCTCATATCCAGCCACCTTGTGACCTAGCTCCAGGCTGGAAACCAACCTATTATAAAAACGTTAATTTAACCAAATTCTGTCAATATGTTTAATATATATATATTTTTTTTTTTTTTGCTGTTGATATTAATGGAACACCTCATATCCAGCCACCTTGTGACCTAGCTCCAGGCTGGAAACCAACCTATTATAAAAACGTTAATTTAACCAAATTCTGTCAATATGTTTAATATATTTTTTTTTTTTTTTTTTTGCTATTGATATATAATGGAACACCTCATATCCAGCCACCTTTTGACCTAGCTCCAGGCTGGAAACCAACCTATTATAAAAACGTTAATTTAACCAAATTCTGTCCATATATTTAATATTATTTTTTTTACTGTTGATTTTTTTCCGTTTGATTGCTTTAATTTTCTTTACTGAAGTAACATTGTAAAAAATCCAGAATCAATTTGAAATAGTTTTACAAATTACATTACTTAGTTGAAAACGCACCATTATTTTGATGTTCCACCATTTTCTTCTGATTGTTCAGGATTTAGTGGGACACAGGGATGGTTTTTTATACATTTCTTTACTTCACTCAATATTTTCCTAACAAAAAATCTATTTTATTTATATTTATTTCTCTTACAGTTTTCAGAGTTATGTTCTACCCTTTACACAGCTGTTACAGAGAATGTGTTTTGTTGCAGGACCCAATGGTCCGACACCCAGCACACTGACCAGCTGGCTGATGGCTCATCCGTCTTACGAGGTGATGAGACCTGGAGTGTTACCCTCCGCTAAGTACTACAACCAGCCCCGTTCCACTCCCCCCGTCAAACAGCCTCGTCCAGCTCTCAAACAGACGGTGCTGCTGGGGCAGAACAGGCCGCAGGGTATACAGCTCATAGCAGCTTTGCCACAAGTAAGTAACACTAGTTCAGTCAGACATAACTCTCTAAGCCTTTAACAAAAGATTAAACACTTTTTTTGGGAATGGACCAAACCCTGGTTTTGTTACTAATAGGGATGGACGGGATTGAATTTTTAGTTCGGGACGGGACGGAACGGGATTTTTATTTCCTTCCCGATTTTCGGGACGGGACGGGACGGGATTTTTTTCTGTGCATAAAAAGAATGTCTTTGAGTATTGCAGTTACCAAAAAAGACATACAACATCAATTTTTACCGTTTGTGGCACTGATTTATAAAAAAACCAAAAAATGGGTAACAATTTACAGGTATCAATAGAAACTTGTGACTCGTGGTCGAAATGACTGGCGGTCACGGTGCGATCGTCAAAATGATCGCGGTCACAGGGTGATCGTCGGAATGACTCGTGGTAACGGGGTGATAATCGGTATGACTCGCGGTCACGCCATGATCGTCGGTATGACTCACGGTCACGGCGCGATCGTCGGTATGACTCCGCGGTCACGGCGTGATTGTCGGTATGACTCCGCGGTCACGGCGTCATCGTCCGTATGACTCCGCGGTCACGGCGTCATCGTCGGTATGACTCACGGTCACGGCGCGATCGTCGGTATGACTCCGCGGTCACGGCGTGATTGTCGGTATGACTCTGTGGTCACGGCGTCATCGTCGGTATGACTCCACGGTCACGGGGTCGCAATCACAGCACGATCGTCGGCATGACTCCGCGGTCACGGCGCGATCGTCGGCATGACTCCGCGGTCACGGCGCGATCGTCGGCATGACTCCGCGGTCACGGCGCGATCGTCGGTATAACTCCGTTGTCACGGGGTGATCGTCGGTATGACTCGCGGTCACAGCACGATTGTCGGCATGACTCCGCGGTCACGGCGCGATCGTCGGTATGACTCCGCGGTCACGGGGTGATCGTCGGTATGACTCGCGATCACGGCATGATCGTCGGTATGACTCGCGATCACGGCACGATCGTCGGTATGTCTCCGCGGTCACGTTGCGATCGTCGGTATGACTCCGCGGTCACGGGGTGATCGTCGGTATGACTCGCGATCACGGCACGATCGTCGGTATGACTCGCGATCACGGCACGATCGTCGGTATGACTCCGCGGTCACGGCGCGATCGTCGGTATAACTCCGTGGTCACGGGGTGATCGTCGGTATGACTCGCGGTCACAGCACGATTGTCGGCATGACTCCGCGGTCACGGCGCGATCGTCGGTATGACTCCGCGGTCACGGGGTGATCGTCGGTATGACTCGCCATCACGGCATGATCGTCGTTATGACTCCGCGGCCACGGCGCAATTGTCGAAATGACTTCGTCTCCTGCGTTCGCGGACCTATCGCTCGCAATAGCGGCGTCATTGGCACTCGCGAACGGCAAAATCGCCGACGATCGGACCAAATCCCGTCCCAAAAAATTCCCGAATCAAAGGTAATCCCGTCCCGATAATAGGGAATATTTTTTTCCCGAAAAATTCCCGAAATTTCGGGACCCGTCCATCCCTAGTTACTAACTTTGACCTTTCATTAGATAGCCTCATTAATTGATAGCCCAACATGGCAAATGGTATCTGGGTCTGGAAATGATCTTGCTTGGAATCAAAACAACGACTTTAAGATTTGAAGGCGAGCGCATGTTGTATTTATTGGAAAGCTCTTGTTCTAAAAACTACTCTTTAACAGAGGCAATTAGTGTTTATTTTATTAATGTGAATACAAATTAACCAAGAAATAAATCGTTTTCAGCTACCCCCTGTTGAAGGACCAATGAAAAAGAATCTGCACAAATCAGAACCACCGTCCCCGACTGTGACGCCTAAAGCGAAACAGCAGCCTTCAAAGGGACAGCAGCCTGTGGCAAAGGGACAGCAGCAAATCACAACGTTGTTGAAAGTGCAACAATCGAAACAAGATGCAACAGAAACAGCGAACAAAACGACGCCAGCAAAGTCGCAAGTGACACCGACAGTGAAGAAGCAACCTGCGAAGGAACAACCTAAGAAGGTAACACCGCAGCCACCAGTGAAGAAGACGACTCCCACCGTTGTCAAAAAGACACTCAAAGAAGACGAGAGGAGGGATGACGTACGGGGCAGAGAACAAGAAGAGATGAATGTCAGAGCCAGTGTGAGGAAGACTCTTCAGGACATATTGACCTCTAGACTGCAAGAGGTTGATGACCTCAAGCTCAGCGAAGACCATGTCCGTACACTTTAATTTTATAATTTTAGTAGATTTATATCTAGTTTGTGAGTGCCATATATTATCAGGAGGGAAAAAGAAGTTTATATTTGAAGTAGTGTGCTAAGCATAAAAAATACACTTACTCTATGCAATAAATATTTATATCGCACTATAGAAATATCCATGTAATATTAAAAATTGAAAAAAAATTACAGTTCTTTCTGTCCGTTTTGCTGTTTTGCATATTAAAATAAAAAATATTAGGTTCAAGATTGGAAATCAAGTACTAACTTCTTTTCCAAACTAATATTTTGAAAAGGGGTTCTTAGTTGAACTATTTTTAGCATGTTTAGTCTATTTATTATTATCAGTTTTACATATTTATTGTAAGACTTTTAAACATAGGTGTATTTTTGCAGATTAGGAAAATCACCACACAGATTGAAGAAGAATTACATGCTCTCTTTAAAGACACAAACGCCAAATACAAGTCAAAATATCGCAGCTTGATGTTCAATATGAAAGATAAAGCAAATATGACCCTGTTCCGGAAGATTGCTGACAAGTCAATCAGTCCCGAGCAGCTGGTGAGACTGAGTCCAGAGGAACTAGCCTCTCAAGAGTTGGCTCAGTGGCGAGAGAGAGAAGCAAGACATCAGTTGGAGATGATCAAGAAAACGGAGCTGGATCTGATGCAGCAAGCCAAGACAGTGGTGATGAAAACACACAAGGGAGATATTGTGGTGGAGAACGATGACGGTCTCGGAGCAAAGATACTGGAGACAAGTGTCGAAATAGAACCAGTGACAGTCACGACTCCCTCGACCCCGACAGTGGAGCCTGTCGTCAAACCCAAGGAGGACTTGGCAAAGGACAAAGAAGGAAAACACAAGAAGGACAAGGAGAGGAAAGAAGAAAAACATAAAGAGCGAAGGCATAGTAGTCATGGTAAAGAAAAAAGCCACAAAGACCACCACAAGAGCAGAAGCAGGCACAGGAGTAGACATAGGAGTGAGAGTGAACAAAAGAGTAGAAGCAAGAGTCCTGAGGAAAAAAAGAGTAAAGAAAAGGTTGGAACTAAGCAGGAAGAGATCAAGAGTAGCGATAGAAAAAGTAGAAGTAGACACCAGCACCATGAAAGGGAAAGGAGCAAGAGTAGGCCCAGGGAAAGGAGTAAGAGCCGTTCACAAGAGAGGAGCAAGAGTAAGCCGAGGGAACAAAGTAAGAGTAGTCCACGGGAGAGAAGTAAAAGTAGACCAAGAGATAGAAGTAAGAGTGGGTTGAGAGAGAGAAGTAAGAGTAGGCATAGGGAACGAAGCAAGAGTAGGCCTAGGGAACGAAGTAAGAGCAGGCATAGAGAACGAAGTAAGAGTCGACTACGAAAAATGAGTCAAGATCCTGATGAAAATAAAAAGTCAACAGTCGAAGTAAAGAAAGATGAGTTTGTAAGTGAGGAAAAAGTTATTGAAGAGGTAAAGACGTCAGTTCAGTCTTCTATCATAGATGCTGAAATCAAAGACATAATTCACGATGTGGTTGTTGAGGAAGAAACCGGTCCCGTTGAAGAAGATCTTTCTGATCGAGAACCTAGTTCTACCGTAAATATAAGCACACCACCATTTAACACTTTTGATGAAGTAGGACCTGAAAAACCTCCAATATGGCAAGGAACACTAATAATGCCAGATGTTGCCAAATTTTCTTGTTCGATTCTCGAAGTATCTGGTATTTGTGAGGATTTGCCATACGATCTGCCAGATAACATCGATTGTGTTGGTAGAATCAGTCCTGAAACAGCTTGGGATTATATAGCGAAGATGAAAAAATCTGGAACAAAGCAGATTTTAGTTGTTAGATTCGCTGCTGACAATGAAGAAGACAAAATGTCATATTTGAGTTTTTATTCGTACTTGAGTAGCCGGAATCGCTTGGGAGTGGTTGGCAACAATTCAAAGATGATTAAAGATTTTTACATCCTACCTTTGCCAAGTCATAGTCCAGTGCCACAGGTGTTGTTGCCTCTGGACGGACCGGGATTTGAAGATTACAGACCTCATCTATTGCTGGGTATCATCGTAAGGTCTAGAAGGAAAAGGCTGATGACGGACAAAGATATTCCATTCGTCCCGAAGGTTGCAAAGAAGTCAGAGAGAAGCTACACTCCACCGCTTCCTGAGGATGGAGGACACACTCCACCTACCACACACCAACATCCTGAGACTGAATCTTTCACTCCTCCACACTCACCTAAGCCATTGAGGATCATCAAACTCAAACCAAACAAAAGCAAAACCGTGGAGAGTCCAACAGGTGAGGAAAACATCAAATGTCACCTTTTCTTATTCATACTTATTTTTGGGCTTAGACACAAATATGATACTCTCATCATAACCACGAGAGCTTAAGTTATTCCAGACTATCAGGATCTAAAGTTTCATTTAACCTTTGGCTATTGATAGGAGTAGACATTCCACCCCTGTGTAAAAAATCGTATTCAGTTTTTTAATCAAAATGGAAGTAGTTGAATTGAGTGACCAACAGTTTGTGCGGATCTAGATTACTGATTTCTGTCTAATATGCTGACTTCCGAAACAAGTCAAACTTATGAAACAACTTATTGTAAGTTATAATCGTTTATGTCACATTAACATATCTTAACATAGATCAATCAATCTATTTTTTGAGATTTCTTCAAGAAATGCAATAGTTTCATATACGGATTGTAATTTGAATATTTATCTTGCTAATCAATTAGTGAGTGGAGTGGTTGATACATTAGCCTGCCTTTTAAGATTCCTCCACCCTTGTTGACTTTTTGTTAGCAAGTAGCTGTTGGTCCTGTAAATGACGTGACATCTTTTTGGGTGCTATTGACAAAGTGGACAGGAGTGAATTAAAGCCATCGTCTTATTTTGCGTTGAGCCTTTCTTGTGCTTAGGATACACCTTCGCAAGTTTTGCGGGGATTGACCCGAGCTTAAGAATGAATTATTATTACAAATGGGTAAAAGCTGTTTTACACAGTGTTTTACTGCTTTAAGTGGGATTTTATCAACTCCACAGGATAGTTTTGATTTTAGTGAGTTAATTGTGTTCATTACCTCTTTTTGTGTATAGGGGCTAAGATTAGTGGCTGAATGTGTTTGTTAGCGTGGTTTTGAGAACAGATTTTCTTGTCAAAACTTTATTCAACAACTTTTCATTTTATCGTGTATAACTCCTTTCCTTCTGCAGTCTACAGTGAGGTTGACTGTTTACAGTGAGTGAGGACTTCATGCTGGAGGACGACACGCCGTACACTCCAGAGGATGAGGAGCCAGACGACGCTGACGCTCCATACAGTCCTGGCGAGGGAGAGGACAAGCCTCTGTCGCCCGGGTGTAGTGAGGAGCTGCAGCGCAAGGTAGACAAGCTCAACCGCATGATCAACGACATCGAGGAGCGCAAGCAGAAGATAGACAGTGGCATCATGTCACCACCACAGGTAATATTCTTACAACAGATGGGGAAAACAAAGTTTAAATCAAGCGTGCTGTGTTATAACGCTTTATCATATTTGAATGACCTTGCTTCCTTTTTGATTGAAATTAGTGATGGTCGGATCCGAATATCGGACTACTGGATCCGCCGGATCCGAGCTAATACCGGCACCCGATCGGATCCAAAAAATTCCGGATCTTGGGCTGGATCCGGTTTTGATGGATCCGATATTTTCAAATTTGTTCCCGATTTTTTTCCTAAAACACAAAGTTGTCTGTATCCATGTAAAAGACCGATTTTCCCCCGATTTTTTTAATAACACAAAGCTGTCTGTATCCATGTACAAGCCCGTTTTTTCCCCGAGTGTTTGTCTCTTGATGCAAATAACTTATATGGCAAGGCCAGGGCCGGGGATAGTAGCTAGTAAGGGCTAGACCACTCTTTTGATGTTTGGCAGAAGCCGCCGCGCCAGGTAGTGGGGGGGTCGGCGGCCGCGTGACGTCACGTGGTTGCCTCACCCAGCGCTTCTGCAATGAACCCCTTGTTTGTTTGCATTCATTGCGCTAAGTATGTAGTTAAGTTTTAATGTTAGTTGTGGTTAGAAGTGTTCTGAAGTCAAATAATATGTGACTGACTGATAGTTTGTTTATGATTTTCATCTGTTTCCTATGGAGTTGTTATTTGTAAAATCCCGGATAATGTGGTACTGGCACAGAGATGAATCGCGATGGAATACCCGATGTGATCAATTGCAAAGACTGTAAAAGTAAAACAGGAATAAATGAAAAAGTACATACTGAAGTAGTAATCTTAAAATCGCAACTGAAATTAGCTAGACAAAAAAATAAAGTTTTAGCTAGCATAAAACGTAAGAATATCTTGCAGCTCTAAAAAGCTAAAGAGCACGATTGAAATTGTAGGTGTTTAGAAAGTATGTGTTTTGAACAAAAACTGTAAAAAACAAGTAGCTATAACTAAGTGGGCTGAGAAAAATATGACTCCTATGTAAATACAAAACGAATAATTAATGATTAATAATTTTCAATAAGATAGTAAATTGTAATCTTATAGTTACCACTATAAGATTATAATTAACTATCTTATTAAAAATTAGTGTTTTAATACCTTAATGCGTATCTTAAAAAAGATCCTATATATTATAATATCACGATAAATTATCATCCTATTCATATAGAACATTTGTGTATGTTATTTTCATAATGCATTCATTCTGAAGTAAACATAAAATAAAATAAAATACTTCCTTTGATTTTGTTTATAACAAAACAGTTCAGTATGTTTTTCATATATTTATGTTATCCAGCTACAATTTATTGATTTTCAAAATACACTCTCAATCTTTTATTTAATTCGTATTTGCAGATAGAGCCGTCTTGAAATACGTGAGCTTGACTAATACAAAAGTTTACTTTATTGAATTTATTTGATTCTTTTTAGAGCGTTTGAAGTCGGTTGTATTTTTTTACAAGAATAAATTATTTTATGATTTTCAGTGACAGTATAATTTGTTATATATTAATTATTTGTTGTTTTTCGATAAGCAAATTTTGTTTGAAACAATCAAAAGTGTCACAGAACAATCATTAGTTTTAAAACTGCTTGAGTTTTACATTTTTACAGAAATATTTTAAATTTAAAAAAGTATAAGAACATGATAGGAAATTCTAATTAAATATTTATATCGCCACCCAAATATTTTTTTTTATTTTAACCTAATTTTAGTAAGCTCGCCTTAAAAATTGTAAAAATAAATAAACTTGAATATCATTTTGAATAGAAATATTACTATTGAGAAAGGCTAAATATATGTTTTTTTTATTTCGAGAAACCCTTAAGGATACAAATAAATTGTTTATTTGGTTAAATATTTCATAATCATTTAAAAAACATAATTAAAGTAACCACATGTTCAAAGTCAAAAACAATTCTTCGTACTTTGATCTTCAATAATAAATAGTAAATAATAATATTCATATGAACAAGTTACACCACTCCATAGACAATTTAATTTCCTTTCAAGAATGCCAGAGGTTAACAACATTGGTCTTATATTTAGCGGGAATTTTAATTCGAAACAGGGCGCGTGCGCTGCCGAGCATTGCCATCATACTACAGCACAGGCGCGGCTGACAACCGCGTGACGTCACAGGGTGAATCGAGCGGGATGCAGGTACACCGGCGGAGTGGTCTAGCCCTTACTAGCTACTATCCCCGGCCCTGGGCAAGGCCATGTCTCGGTGTTTGTATCTAGATGCAAATAACTTGTATGGCAAGGCCATGTCTCAGTGTTTGCCTCTTGATGCAAATAACTTATATGGCAAGGCCATGTCTCAGTGTTTGTCTCTTGATGCAAATAACTTATATGGCAAGGCCATGTCTCTGTGTTTGTCTCATGATGCAAATAACTTATATGGCAAGGCCATGTCTCAGTGTTTGTCTCTTGATGCAAATAACTTATATGGCTAAGCCATGTATCAGTGTTTGTCTCTTGATGCAAATAACTTATATGGCAAGGCCATGTCTCAGTGATTGTCTCATGATGCAAATAACTTATATGGCAAGGCCATGTCTCAGTGTTTGTCTTAGGATGCAAATAACAAGGTCATGTCTCTGTGTTTGTCTTTTGATGCAAATAACTTATATGGCAAAGCCATGTCTCAGTGTTTGTCTCTTGATGCAAATAACTAATATGCCAAGGCCATGTCTCAGTGTTTGTCTCTTGGTGCAAATAACTTATATGACAAGACCATGTCTCAGTGTTTGTCTCTTGTTGCAAATAACTTATATGGCAAGGCCATGTCTCAGTGTTTACCTCTTGATGCAAATAACTTATATGGCAAGGCCATGTCTCAGTGTTTGCCTCTTGATGCAAATAACTTATATGGCAAGGTCATGTCTCAGTGTTTGTCTCTTGTTGCAAATAACTTATATGGCAAGGTCATGTTTCAGTGTTTGTCTTTTGATGCAAATAACTTATATGGCAAAGCCATGTCTCAGTGTTTGTCTCTTGATGCAAATAACTTATATGGCAAGGCCATGTCTCAGTGATTGTCTCATGATGCAAATAACATATATGGCAAGGTCATGTCTCAGTGTTTGTCTCTTGATGCAAATAACTTATATGGCAAGGCCATGTCTCAGTGTTTGTCTCTTGGTGCAAATAACTTATATGACAAGGCCATGTCTCAGTGTTTGCCTCTTGATGCAAATAACTTATATGGCAAGGCCATGTCTCAGTGTTTGCCTCTTGATGCAAATAACTTATATGGCAAGGCCATGTCTCAGTGTTTGTCTCTTGTTGCAAATAACTTATATGGCAAGGCCATGTCTCAGTGTTTGTCTCTTGATGCAAATAACATATACGGCAATGGCATGTATCTTTCCGAACCGAATCCAACCCGATTTTTCGGATATCTGCACACCTCTAGTTTTTAGTTTTTTACCTGGATGATAAGCTAACGGCCTATAATCTCGTCTCGAAAATATCCCGTTAGTATTTCAATCCCGCCCGATGCTCCGTGATAAAAAAATCTCGAAGTTTAGGGTTTTGTCCATCACTATAAAATATTCTGTGTCTGTGTACAAGAAGATTATCTCTGTATATACAGGGTGAATAAAAAGTCAAGACTCCCCCATGTAATATTTTTCTAAGTTAGAACACAGTATAGACTTCTTGTACACAGACACGGGTATTTTACTTGTAGAACTTCACATACCTGGCTATCAGTACTGTGGACCTGGAACGAATTTAAGGAAGAGATTAACAAGAGGTGATCCAGGCATAAATAAATTGGATGCTGCATGCAAAAACCATGATATAGCATATTCAAGATCGAACTATGATAAAACATACACAGATACCCTTTTGGTGGTCGTGCAAACTTAGTGCATTTTATGATTTTGAAAATTTTTAGTGTCTCCAAAAAATTAGGGATTATGGGCTCAACTGGAGATTACTCTAAGATATATTAACCTTGAAACATTACCAATTAAATTTTAAACAGTATGATTTAAATTGGCATTCTGTTGATTACGTTTTTTTTATATACCCTTATTACAGTGTGTATCTGGATCCGGATCCGAATTTTTCAAGATCCGGATCCGGATTCTGTACCGAAATTTTCTTAGATTCGCCCATCACTAATTGAAATTAAAATCTTGTGGTTTTGGTACTTAGGTATTATAGCTGCCACACCGATAAATCAACTTCCCAATAATATTTTAAGTAGTTTAAATAACATACAATCTTCCTAATGTAACGTAACCTAACCTAAAACATAGTCCACCCTTAGGTTAAGTTAGGCGTGGTTATAATTATTAGGTGTGGTTGGTATAATACCTATGTACCTTTTTTCTATTGTAGTTGATGAACAGTACTTTTGGAATACTTTTCTTTGGTGACAATAAAAATAGATTTATAAACCTACTACAAATTGAACTGGAATAAAAAAAAACAATTATTTGGGGCAGGGTTAAATTTTTTTGCAACACCTACCGGCTCCTATATGACAATTTAAATCAATTTTACCTACGACCGTTTTTTCAAGTAGCCGTTTCAGTTCAGTTAAGGTATTCATTCTGATTGCCCCTGGACTACGTATAAATGACTTTGTAGGCTTACCTCTGTCAGTAGTCCAAAGTGACGATGTTGCATTTGCAATGAAACATGTCAATTTTGGACTACTGATGGAGGTAAGCCTATAAAGTCAGTTCTTAGAATTGAAAAGTTCCACATAACAGCATTGTTTACTTTCATAAAACAGCATAGTTTTACTCATAACAACACCGGTAACGGACCAATGAGGTTCAAGGATTGAGAGGGAAGAAGTAAAATTGTAATGATTCGAACTTCAACTAATCAGCTGTTCAGGCCAATTTAATTGTTGAGTGGTGCAATTAGTGTTTGGTACAATGTTTCATTGCATCACTGTGAGTGGCAATGAGAGGTTATAAACAAAAACATAACCTCTCTTAAAAGTTATGAGTAGTGATTTTTAGTAATTAAAACACCGTCGTAGGTAAAGTAGTAAACTCCAGAGTCTAACCAGCCAAATAAACTCCAGAGTCTATTAAGTTCTGGACTTTGCTAACGCCCTGACTCAGCAAGCCATTTTTTAGACTCCAGAGTCTAAAGCCGGTTTAAGTCTAGAACTTAGCTAAATCTCGAGCTCAGCAACCGGCCCTTAGTAATTAATACACTGCCATAGATAAAGTCGTGTACCCAACTCGCGTAAATAGTGTTAACGACACTCGTAGGAAGTTTTTAAGGCATTCGCCAAGGCTCGTACCTTAAATTTTCTAATTTCATTTTTAAGAGTTGTTAGCCTCCGGATTACGTTTGAATATTTATAATGGTTTAAATACCTGCATTCAGTAATCCATTATGCTGCTTGTGGCAACTATAGTTTCGGTTCACAGGGAACCATCTTCAGGCCGTACAAGGCGTCGTTATTCACTTCCATATATGAAGGTCGTCATAAGTACATAGAACACGAACACACGAAAACACACATTGACACGAACATTTAACATTAAAAATACCGAGTACTCGGGAACACGAGACAGGTGACGCGACCGGGTGGAAGTTGTAGCTCGAACTCAACTTGTAGCTCGAGAAACCTGAATTTACACTGTGCTGCATTTCTTAGTAATCCTTGAAAGAGCTGATTTGCAAACTATGGAAACATAGGAAACTCGAGAGTCGAGTTCGAGCTACAACTTCCACCCGGTCGCGTCACCTGTCTCGTGTTCCCGAGTACTCGGTATTTTTAATGTTAAATGTTCGTGTCAATGTGTGTTTTCGTGTGTTCGTGTTCTATGTACTTATGACGACCTTCATATATGGAAGTGAATAACGACGCCTTGTACGGCCTGAAGATGGTTCCCTGTGAACCGAAACTATAGTTGCCACAAGCAGCATAATGGATTACTGAATGCAGGTATTTAAACCATTATAAATATTAAATTTTCTACTCGTGTCGTTAACACTATCTTTAAGCAATCGTTGTGTAAACTACTATAAATGAACAATAAAAGATTGTTTAATCCAATTTCAATTTTATTCTATGGAAGACTTTTTTACATAAATTAGTACAAAAATATAATTTGAATTCCATAAGAAAATTAAATGAACCTTTTTAATTATTACCATGTTAAGTAATACTTTTTTTATTTCTTATTTTTGCTTTTGTTTTATTTTGGCCTGGAAAATAAATGTATATTGATTTACTGCTAATGTGATTTTGATGGAAGTGTCATTTGTCTTGTTTATATATTTCTCTTTATGTTTAGTTAAAAATGCTTCATTTATAAAATTTATTTAAATCATTTTGTAATATTTGAATAAATGTAATTATAGCCTATTTGTATCTATTCAACACATGTTCTCTGTGTATAACGAATGAAGAATGATTTGATTGATATCATTGAAAAATGAATAGGTACCCTACCTTTTAAGTTTAATAAAAGAGGTTTTTTTTTAGTTGATTTGCAACTTCTACAATTTCCAATGTTCCCTTTCTGAAGTGTTGAAAATTAAAGAGACCGATGATTAATGTTTGTGATTCTAGTGAATAATAACTAGTAGGAAAATAATTGTAAATACAAGTGAAGTTGAATTATTGATTGCATTGTGATTTGTCATGACTTTGTCCTGCAGGAGATAATCATGGCTGTTGGTAATGATGAGGAGGAGGAGGAAATAGAGGAGGCGTACAGTCCTTCAGGTTCAATCACTCCTCCGCCTCCGGACTCCTCGTACCTGGACAAGAGCAAGATATCCCTGCCCTCCGATCTACAGGAGATCATTGCAAGTCTGAAGAAGAAACCGGACGAGCCTAAGAGCATGGACCTCCAGTCAGATCCAATTGTCCAAGCTTATAGGTAAGTTGTGTCCATCAGAGTGATACGGTGAAGAAGTTTAGGAGAGCCAATCAATAATTAATTGTACAGTATAAAAAGGAAATAATGCATTAGAGATTACAATTTTTTGTATTAGATTTTTTTAAATCCTAAATCAAACTTGATGATCAACAGATCTGCAGATGAGCCGTACTCTCCAGAAGATGAGAAACCAGAACTGGAGCCAGAAGTTAGTGAGAAGATAGCTTCCCCAGCATCTGAGGAGAGTTTCTCAACTCAGTCCTCGGCCCTGAGTGTTGCTGCGTCAGTGAAGGTCAACAGAGACCCGAGGCAGCGACCCCAGTTGTCCCTCAGTCAGCTCTCCGACGAAGAAATCATGAAGAAAGCTTCGGAGATGGGATTTATGAATCCGGAAAATCCAGAACCCATCCCAGATGTTTTGAAATCAAGAGTGGAACACCCGAGTGCTATTGATGAGCTTCCTCACATGCACCAGCCCCCACCCCCACCTGTGTACTTAAACCAGCCTTTCACTTCTAGTCAACCTACGTTCACTCCAGAGTTCCCACCACCTCACCATTCCACACACCTACCTCCTCCTAACTTCCCTCCACCCCATATGTTCCACTCTGCGCCACCACCACTTCCCCCTCTACCTCCCCCTCACATACCTTTTACAAATCCCCAGCCTCCCCCTCAACCCATGTATCCTCCACCACCCCAGCAACCGGCCCCTCTACCTCCACCACCTCCGGAATCTCCTGATATGAGCATCTCAAAAAAGAAGTTTTCTTCTTCAAAGAAGAAGAAAAAGTCTAAAGAGGAGAGCAGCCGTAGGGAGAGCCGTAAAGAGAAAAAGGAAAAAAGGAGATATTCTGAATCTCCACCACCAAAAGATTACGATGAACGTGAAAAAATCCGTGAACGAGATCGGTATTCCTCAAAGAAGAGAGAAAAGAGGGACACCTCCCCACGGCGGGGGGGTACTTGGAGACCTTACAAGAAATCTCCTCCGCCCGAGAAAAGAAGAGATTCTTGGGAATACGAGCCACCTTCAGTAGGCCTACCATTCAACGAACCACCTCCTCCAAAGATCATGGCTGGGCCTTCCAATCACCAGTTTGTTCCAAGAGCAGGTCAAATGAGAGGGAGGTTTCAGAGAGGGATGAGGGGGGGATTCAGAAGAGGGTTTGATAGAGGAAATCGAGGAGGTTTCCACCGAGGGGGATTTCATCAAAGAGGACATCACATGGGCGTAACTACAGGTCCTCCGGGTCCTCCAAGAAACTTTACTCCAAAAAATATCCAGATCGAGTACGAAGAAGACATCAGGAGGTTTGAAGAACAGCGAAAACAGAAGACTCTAGAAAGGCGGCAATGGAGAAATGAATCCCCACCACCGAAGAAGAGAAGAGGCAAAGAAAGTGACAGTGATTAGATTTAGTTTAATTACAATGTGAGTGATAATAGTACAAAGTCTGATTTCATTCATTAAAAGCCTGCAGTTTCGGAAATGTCTTTGTTACGGGTCTTAAAATACAAGTAAACTAGTTTTATAGTTGTTAGTACTTTCTCTAGCTCCGGCCCATTTAAAAATCACTCAAAATTTGCTATCATGCCAAAGTTTGCTATGCGATTTAGTGTAGTAAAAGAGAAGACAACAATTTGTACGCTTTTTGTTAGCTTTTTCCAGTATTTTCTATTTTGTGATTTAGAAATCTTTTATTCGTCTAACCAAACAATTTAAGTGTTCATGCTAGTTAAACGATAACATTTTAATTTTAAAATTATCCATTCTTTGTTTCTCATAAGAGTAATTAAATTATTTTCTGTGTTAGGCGAGTTATTTTAGAGTATTATTGATTAGTTATTATGCTTTAACAGACTTATCTCTCTTCTCCTTACAATTTAGTTTAAGGGCTGTTAATTGTATTATATGTAACACATTCTTTAAAATAATTGATCTCTATGTATTAATTTTAATTACTCAACGTAGTGGAATCAAGCTGTAACATGTTTACTGTTAAAACTGAAAATTAGGATTAATCGTTGTACAAATTTATTAGTTTAATTTTTTATTTTGTATAGTGACTTTTGTTTAATTTAATTTCTGATTATGGATTAAATTATTGTGAGTAGTGTAATTTTACTTTTGGGACCAAAACTTCCTAGCAAACAATGCATTCAAAAAGTTTGAAAATGGGGTTTGTCTATATTATTTACGTTACCGAGTTCATAGTTAAAATAGTGCAAATAAAACCATATGTACTGTTTTGATTGCTTTATTATTTAAATATTGAAAACCAATCAACTGCATGCATTAAACTCCTGTAAATTTATATCATTGCTATAAAGCCTCTAAATTGAATTTTTGGTTACTACCAATTACCAAAGTTTTTTTCCGGTTGAGATGATTTTTATATCAGGCTTGATTTCAATTTTAATTCCAACATTGGTAATGACCGTTCATTTATAATGTGTTCATTTGTAAATAGTTTGTAAATATTCAAAGTGTATTATATATTAGTTTTATATGCTCTAAAAGAGTGTATAAGTGGATAATGTTTAGTTTAATGGTGGAAAGATCTGTGTTAAATTTTCCACAGCATGTTGTATGTTTCCGAGGGTGTTTTTAAAAGGTAGAAAACTGGCTTGTCAAGTAGCAATAAATTCAATGTGGGGGAATATTCTTGGTAAAATTGCAGGTTTTCTATCTTTTTAACATTTTTGAGTTGTGCAACAAACTGTATATTGAACTGTGATTGCCATATTACCATGTTGTTGAAATTAAATCTTTTTTTTTACTTTTTTTGCATTTTAGACATTGTAAAAATTTGTAACTAATGAAAACCACAGTTTATTGTAAATATAAGCTCACTTTATGCAATTAGAAAGTATTAAAGAATGATATTCACTGAAACGTGTATTTTTAAACCTATGTTTAAAAAATCATTATTTTTATCTATACTTAAAAAAAATAGTTTGTAGAGGCCTGCAGAAAAGGTAATTAACCTTCTAAGTGCTGAGTCGCTTACAGTATGTATGTATGTACAATCATAGATAAAAGATACTTCCTTAGTAGATTTCTTATCATTAAGGATCAGCTGAAGACAATTTGTATTGCTATTTGTGTCCGATGCACTGTAGAAGTTGTGTTATGTTTACAATTTCTTTCTTATTATTTCAGTAATTTAAAACCCCGTTTAACCAAACTAGCTGCTACCCACGGGCTTCACTCCGTTTGACTTCTTAAGTACTGTATTAATAAAACTATTGATTGGTTAGGTTAAGCTGAAATAAACAAAATAGAATACAGTAATACAAGCAAATAATCACACCTGATTTTAATAAGGTAATACATTGAAATACTTTAATATACTTTAATACTTTTCAATGAAATGGCAACAATAAGTATGAAAGAATAACAAACCAATAAGTAGACATACAGCTGAGGTATTTTTAACATTAGGTATATGGAAAGTTCCCTTTAGAAAGGAATTAAGACCTCAAAGGGCAATTTATGAAATAATGGATAGTTTTGCACAAGGTTTCTTGTCATGGCAAAGATTTTAGGTATATGGGTTTGGGGTTGTGAACTTTACTTCTCTCAAAATTGCATGGGTATTGTGGGATTTATATATTATGGATAACAACAGCTAAACATTACAATATACTATATATTATTTAAAAATGAATTACTAAAATCTTCTATACTGTAAGGTAGCTAGGTCAAGTAAGAATACCTTAAGTTTTTTCATAAATTTAGATTTGTCTTTTTTGTTTTTTAAAAAAGCTAGGAAGTTTTCTAAAAAAATTGTTTTCAATATAAGGTTTATTTTGAAAAAGTTCAAGTCTTGGTTTAACTAAATAACAAGAGGTTCTACCCGCGAATTCACGGGTGTACAATTCAGAAGCCACAATTAAATTAAATTAATTAATATCGACTTTATATTTTATTTAAAGGGCGCAAGTTCAAGAAATTCTCATCAGAAGGAATGTTAAAAGCAGTGGGACCTTCATACCTTACGTCCTGAGGTGGCCGACGTGGGTACAGTTCGGCAAAAACTTCAGTGCGGACAGGTGGCTACTATCCAAATTAACCCTTTGAGTGCCAACGTCCGGGGAACCGGACGTTTTTAAAACGAGCCAAAAGTGCCGACGTCCGGGCGACCGGACGTTGAGCCAAAAGTGCCAACGTCCGGCTGACCGGACGTTTCGTAATGATCGAACAGCTGTCATAACAACCGAATGGATACTCGGATTCTTTTAACCCATATATTAACATTGAGTCGAAAGTTACTAGATGCGATACATCGATTTTCGTTGGTTGAAATATCGAAAATTCGATTTTTACGAAATTTTAACCTAAAAATCGCCAGATCGCGCTCGGCATTTTTAGCGCGACCTTCAGGAAAAATCATCGGCATTTTTTGAGCGTTACTTTTATTTCTCGCCTGGCACTCTAAGGGTTAAAACATACAGGTACCGGTTATTGGCAGTACTGGGGTTAGGGGTGAGTGAGTAGTAAGACACAAATGTTTTAACAAAAGTACCCCGCCAACCCCCTCGCATACGTGCGCACAGAAACTTTGGCCGAATATTATATATATATTATGGTTGTACCTGACCTCGCCGCTCTCTTTCACGACGTCCTGTTACAGATTCTTATAAGCTAATCTTACTCAATTACTTATCTTCTTCACATTAGACAACCTGTTTAAAGATCGGTGACAACCTCTTGGACAACCAACGGACATGTTTTTATGTGATTATGCATCGTCTTTCAAACACCTTAAAGATATATGGTGTTAATTCACTTGAAATTTGTTAGGGGAATTTTTTATGAAGGGTGTATTTTGTATATTGGTACACTTGGATCAAACAGCTAGAAATAGCATCAGTGTTCATTTGCCGCACCTCTTTGAACATAAAAGTAAATAATAATATACGTAAACAAAAATGTAAATAAACAATCTATTGTCAATTTCATTGACCAGATGTTTTCGATAAATTAGTCGAATAACGTTAACTTCTAAAACGTGTAAGGCGTGGCCATTTGGAAATTAGCCTGTGGGGCAGAGCCCTAAGAGAATTCGTTCATACCAATACTTTTCGGCAAATCTACACACTCTGAGCTTCATTTTGATGTGCCATATACCATTTACATAAAATTTGATTGTATCACTTTAATAATATAATAGATTTTTACCCCTTGTATTAATTAATTATGCACAGGTAATTCTTGATTCTAGCAATATTTAAAAAAAATATTTAATTGTTTCAAAAATATATAAGGCGTGAACTGTAAAAATTACCATCCCTTTAAAATACGATTTAACAGACTGGTCATATTTTAATTTATGTATTAATCTGATTGTTTTTTTGTATTTTCAAATTCTCAACATGAACAACACACGAAAAAAGTTCAAAAATCATACAGACTTCAAAACAAAATTTAATGCAACTACAACCTATATTGTGACTCTTTTGTAGGAGTAATTATTTATATTTATTAGGCCAGAATTGATTTGTATAACAAAATATGGGAAAAAGGGTAATTAATTATACAATTATTTAAAAAAATTTTTAATAAATGAATAAGTCTATAAAAATGGGTGTGTTGCTAGCCTAGTGGTTAGCATCTCGGACTTCGGGACGGGTTCAATCCCCGGCACATCCACAAAACTTTAATGGGTTTGGACCGCTTTCCCTTAAAAGTGTTTGACATCATTACAAAAATGCCACTGGCGTAGACACGAGAAAAAAATACCCCCGTCGCAGCAAACCTGCAGACTAAGCGAATTTCCATTTGACTGATTGGATTTACACTGAAATGTCTACTTAAAAATATAACATTTATTCTCTATTTAAATAGAATTAGTTTAACTAGTGCTTAGGTTTGCTACATCAGGGAGGGTAAAACGTTAATAGTTAGTAAGAAATAAAAACATTTTCCAAATTTGATCAAAATATGTTCATAAACAAGCAAACTACAACAATTTACTTATTCTCCATAAGAATAACATGGGAATTTTAAATTTACAATTTTTTGGAATTTTCTCCGTAACCATTAGGCGCATAATAACGCTTCAATATACTAAATTGTTTGTTTTTTTAAGCTCTACAAAATGGTTTGGAAAGAAATTGCTAAATTTTATGTTTTTTGGGTCAAAAATGGGAAAAACCTATTTTTACCCCATAAAACCCCCCGTAAACCCCCGTTCCCATGGTCCGATCATGCTGGATTGCGAACTCGTTTGAATAAACGTAGGTTTACACGTTTGTACCAAATTTCATCAAAATCGGATCATTTTTGCTCGAGTTATCGTGCTAACGGACACATATATATATATATATATATATATATATATAAATATATATATATATGAATTTGAACGGATGGTGTTTTTGGCGTCTAGGGACCTCAAAATGAAAAAAAAAATCGGTCCCGCGTCCAGGTCTTACCATGAGTACTACGGTAATAGCTTATTCCCTATATGGGAAATTCGCTAAAACAAAAAAAAATCCAGCCAGAATTTTTTCACATTATTATGATCTGTTACTCGTTCAGACATCTTAAAATTTAAGAATTCACCCTCACAAGGACGTCATAGATTCTTAAACTGCCTTAGGCAAAAAAAAGTAACGTTTCTAATGTCTCGTCCACAGAGGAATCATTTAATCCCCCCGCACTTACGTAGGGACCTCACCCTCTCGCCCTCATGTACTGCAACACTCAAGGTAGAGTAAGAGCCTGTGCGATAGAAATTTCTGCACAGTGCTGTTCGGGCTTTTGTTTGCTCGTCACAATATTTCTGACACAAAATACCAGCACACTGGGGTTGTTATCCCGCAAGGGCGTTTCCTCAGTACCTTACTGTGATTAATCTTAGAATTTTATTATGTTGGCCCATTTGTTTTTTTTTTCCTTTTTGCACACATTTTTTTAATTACTCAAAATCCTTTCTTTCATTTTACTATGCATGAAAATTACATTTGGAAAAATGTCAATTAAATTAATTAATGCTTGCAACCAAGACACAAAATTCACTGAGACTGTGTAGCTACCTACTTTAAACATTCTTTGTCTCTATTATCCAAGAGTCTCGTAGCATGTAGCAGTTCTTAAACGTGATGCATTTTTGTCAAGTTAGTATGTCAAGTGTTTGAAGTATGTTTTGCCTTTATTGCCAGTGCAACACTATTCTATTTAAGATGTTCTCTAAATTAAAACACAGCAGCAGTGTTTGTACGTCTTTATTGTATGTGTGTTTTTGTTGTTTTTTTCACAAGGGAGTCAATAATGCCTAGACCAGTCTCTTTCAGGTGCATGGTCAAAACAGTGGGCTTTGCAGTACTGCGGATACCTGAAAAATAATTAAAAATAAATATGATTTTACATGTTAATTATTGGCAAAACAATATTTTGATCAGAAACACTCCTGAATGTTATACAAGTCATTCATTGTATTCCACATCATGTTGAAAAAGCCAAATTTTGTAATTGTATTTTTTTTTTGTCCTAGGACGCTAGGCACGAGTCCGGGATTGTTTTCCACATTACTTCAGGCTAGACCTAGCGGTTGCGGCATTATCACTCAGATAAAATCCATTGGTGACTTGGTGGGATTTGAACCCGGGAGCTCAGGGACTGAAGTCCCGCGCTCTAACCACTACAACACCAGCTCGCTCCACTGTAATTGTATAATAAATTTTGATATCAAAAAGACAGAATTTCAAATTGAGTCCTATAACATTTATACGTTGGATTGGATATATTGTTCTTGCTTGTACTGTATATTATTACAAGATATATTCGTATAACAATGAAGAAGGTTGTTGAGTTTTTACCAACATTTAAAGGAAAATAATATCTCAAACTTATATGGAAACGATATTTCACCTTACTTGTCTGTAAGG